AGAGAGATATAGAAACATCAATGATGAGAGAGAACCATTGATTGGCTGCCTCCTGCACACCCCATACTGGGGATGGAGCCCACAACTTGAGCATGTGCCCTGACCAGGAATGGAACGCTGACCTCCTGGTTCATAGGTTGGTGCTCAACCACTGAGCCACGCCGGCTGGGCCCTACTATTTCTTTAAGAAGCTGAAGTCCATCTAGCTCTTGTCATAGTTTTTATCTGTAATGCTCATCCCCTAGATGGTCCCATGACTTCCTTCTGTATATCATCTTGAGATGTTAACTCAGAGAGGCCTTTCCTGGCCACATTTTCTAAAGGAGGCTCCCTACTCTCAATGTCACTATTCCTCTATCCTGCCTTATTTTCTAAAGCATTTACCACTGTTTGAAATTGTACTGGTTGTTGTGTATGTCTTTTGTTTTCATCTTCCTCACTAAAATTTACAAGAGTTGGAGGTGTGTTTAGTTCATCAATGTATCTTCAATGCCTAGGAGAGTGCTGGGCACAGTTAGATGCTCAATAAAAATTTGTTGAGTACATAAATGAATGAATGAGTGCTAACACCATGACATATATGAGAGGAAAAGTGTACAACTAACCTCTTTTCCATTGTCCATAGGTGGGTTTACCATAGCAAAGTTCTCATTCCAGGCTGGCTTTTCTCAATTATGCAGAGGATTTCAGGGCAATGTTCCTCAAAAGCATGTCATATTTGCTATGGAAATGCAAATCCATTTGGTATTAGGTTCTCAGAGCTGCCAAAACTGGGTGGCTTAAGACAACAGAAACATATTCTTTCTGGAATCTAGAAATCTGAAATCAAGGTGTCAGCAGGACCCTGACTGGAGACTCCGGAGTGAATCCTTCCTTGCATCTTCCTGTCTCTGGTGGCGGCTGGCAGTCTTTGCGTCCCTTGCCTTCCAGTTGCAACACTACAATCTCTGCCTCTGTCATCACGTGGCATTCTCTTTTTCGGTCTCTCTCTTTTATAAGGACATCAGTCTTGTTGGATTAGGGCCTTCCCTAATGATTTCACCTTGATCACATCTCCAAGGACCTTATTTCCAAAAAAGGTCACACTCATAGGTACTTCCACATATCTTTTTGGGGGACACAGTTCAACCCATAACACATGTTAATATCGGTGGAGGCAAATTATACAAATGCCTTCTAATGTTGAAGACCATATTTAATTGGCTCTGACATACTTAAAAAAGACATTTTAAAATCTCAAAATCAGAATGCATCCTACATGGTAGTTTGGATTTCCTACTGCTTTGAGCGATGCTTCCTGGAGCTTTCTGCTCAGAGCACGGAGGTCTGTGTTACCTGGAACTCCACCTGCCTGTCTCCTTCCCCTTCCTTGTGTTACTGAGCTGCTGCTACATTTAACGAAAGAACAGAAATAAAATAATCTTTCCTAGCAACTTGCTCTAGAGAAGCCACTTGTGCACTCATAGTGCAGTTAAGCGTGAGATGTTTTGTTTTTGGATGACTCACCCAGCCAGGTGACTGCGCTGGAAGATCAGGCACTGCCTGAGTCACTCTGTGTCCCCATGGACCTAATTAGTGATGAGCCAAAAGTCAGTGGCAGGGCTGGGGACCCAGGCCAGAACTCTCTGGCAGACAGTAAGAGAGATATCCCTCGTGTTTACAGTACGAATCATCCTCCCTTCCCACTAACACGTCTGCCTCTGACAGCCCTCTCCTGAAAACCCCTGGTCCCACGAGGGTGGCCTGTTTCTGCGTTCCGACATCCTGTCTCATTGGACAGCATGTCCTCAAAATAGCTCTCATTGACGCATTATGACTTCCATTGGTTCCAACTCCCTTCCTTGTTTTTCTTTTTTCTCCATTTTCCCCACCCTTTGTCTCTTTTCTGGTTCTGTGAATGGGGCTGAGGTGCCAAACCATAGCTTTCTACTACTTTCCAGGCAAACTTCTTGGCTGCCCTTGTCTATTGTTTCTAACTGGCCTGCTCTGCTTGGCCATCCCTCCTAGCTTGGATTTTTGAACACCCAACATTCCTCACTCCATTTAGAAGCCAGATCTGAGGATTGATCATTGTCTTCTAGCCTGAGGCTTTCTGGCTCCATGCCCTCACTACCCCGGTGTTCAGGGTGTAGAACTGTCTTTAGGAGGGGAAAAAGAAAGTAAAACCTTCACCGCCTGAAACAGCTCACCTGCAGGATAAAACAACAACAACAAAAACAACAGCGCCCAGCTGGTGTGGCTCAGTGGTTGAGCATCGACCCATGAACCAGGAAGTCATGGTTCAATTCCCAGTCAGGGCGGTGTGTAGAGGCAGCCGATCGATAGGTCTCTCTCATCATTGATGTTTCTATCTCTCTCTTCCTTCCTCTCCGAAATCAATAAAAATACATTTTAAAAAACAATAGCAACTGTGGAAGCATTTGTTGAGTGCTTTCTCTGAGCCAGCCGTTGTGCTCAGAGTTTGACAGATTGGTTCATTGAACCTTTTAATCACCTCGTGAGGACCAGGGCCAGTCCCCCTGTTTCCTTGCTCTGGCTAAACTGTTAGAGAGGAAAGGGGTGGTAGGAGTTGTTTGTTTTCGGCAATGACAGAGTTCTGATGAAGGACTTCTTCCAGTCACTTCTCCAGCAGGGCTGAGTCTGGGCCCCGGAGGCTGAACAGGAACATAGGCCTTATGAATGACTGGAAACAGAGACCCAAACTCCTTCCACATGTTCGGGAGGGAGGGGTGGCTTCAGGACAGCAGCACATTGAATCAGCATGGCCCAGGCACAGAGACTTCTGATGAGTCCATCACTTTCAGCCACTGCATTCCAGGAACTTGCCCTTGATGGCAGGCCTTGGTGGGGGGTATTGGGGGTGGTTGTTATTGGTTCTCACGAAATCAACCTGTGATTCATTAAAAAGAGATGTAAGGGGAACTGGGTAGCCATCACTCCCCAGGCATAACTTCCTAAAGAACAAATCCCAGCAGCACTTCATCCTCCGAGGTCAGGGACTGCCCATTCACAAGGAGGGGTCTTGCTGTTATTTACTTCACATCTGAGAAGGCTTTCTATTGTGGCTGCAAGTCGAGGACTCATAGGGAAATGCTAAGTTGAGAATGAATGGGTAAATGTATACACTGGGAAAATTTTTTCAACAATAAGTTGACAGTGTACTCCATGGTCACGTCCTTCTCACTCTTCACGTGGTCTCCTTTCCCTGGTGAAAATCGATGGCATTTATGTCCAGAATTACCCTTCTGGATGCCAATCCCATTGCAAACTTCACAATGGGAAGCAGATTCCTAAAATAGTTCAGGCTATGCTCCTCTCAGAACTCTGCCAATAAGAGGGGCTGTGTTCATGTCTGGCTGGAGAAAGAGAAATTGTGATTCAAAATTGGTTAAGGTTCTGCAAGGCAATAAACCCTAACCTTTGGGGATTCCCTTTCCTACCAGACAGAAATCACGTGTGTTGCTGCTGGGTAAGAATCATATATCTCGTTCTCACCGAGAATCATTTCCATTGTTATTGATTTTCTGTAAGTGCACCTCTACTCTTGAAGAGTTGCATTCTAATTGATCGAAGTCAAATAAAGGTACACACCACTAGAAAGTCAGATAATCCCTAAGCATGTGGGTCTACTAGTCAACACCCTGAATTATATCAAGGGCACCGAGTATTATTTCCAAATTTTTGATAATTTTTCCTAACACCTCTCTCTCTCTCTCTCTCTCTCTCTCTCTCTCTCTCTCTCTCTCTCTCTCTCTCTCTCCATTTTCTTGGTATGCTTTTGTCCAGAAGTTGGAAGGGAGAGAGTTCAGTCACACTATAATAAAATGGACTGAGACATTCAGCTCAATGAGAAGTTTTGGAGACAATGGGAAAACATCCTAGCTGTCAAAATGGTTTCTCTCCAATAGATTTGCTAGTCTCACCAGCTCGGGGCAAAGAGGCCACTTTAGCAAACTGGATAAAGGAACTGTCAGGATAACTGGGTCATGGGAAGAATGGGTTTTTCTCATTTGCTCCTTATATTGGAAAAAGGCGTTCCTGGAGCACAGAAGGGTTCACCTGGCCGAGCTAGGGAAAGCAAGGAGGATGGTGGCTTTCTGTCCAAGTAAAAACCTGAGGTTTCCTTCCAGGCTGGGCTTCTCAGGGCTATTTTGGGCCCTCTGTTTGTCCCTGCTCCTCCCCCACCTGCTTTTCCACTTTCCTTTGACAGTATGAAGACTGTTGACAGTTGAGTACTTCTCCCTTACCTCAGTGAATTCTTGTACACATCCTGTGAGATAGATATTATCATTTCATAGAGGTTATTGAGTTGCCCAAAGTCATGACACAGGTAGTTAGAAGAGCATTCAGAATTCAAGTACAGGCTTTCCAACATGTTCTTCCAGCTTATATCAGTCAGCCTTTTCTAACATTTCTGCAATTCTCCCTGGAGCATTCTATGCTTGGATCCAAAGATATATGTATTGGGAAGTTTGATAAGATTCCAGAAATTTTTTTTTCTGGTAGGCCCATGGGAGCCTTTCATGGCCATCCCAGCCCCCCAATATTTAGGTTGCATGTTAATGTTAGTGCATCAGGGCTTTGGAGCCCCTGTGTAATGGCTATGAATACATCATCAGAATAATTGGAGAAAGGACACATTGCCATTGCTCTGGGCCTCAGATTTTCATTTGCACAGTGTAGGTGTCAAACCAGTTGCTAATTCAAGCCTTTCCATCACTTATGAGCTGACACTTGGGTCCATGGCTCAGCCTTGCTCCATCACCTGCCATCACTGTGGCCTCATCAATGTCGGTCAGTGATGCGTTTCTCCTGACCTTCCTCATCCTTCTTCATATCAAACAGCATGTATTTGGTAAATGTCTGTGGTCTGGTTAGGGTGAGATGGTGTGCATCTGAGAGCTGTAAACCTGGGCATTTGGAAAAATTGGGAAGGATGGGGCAGGCCTGTTACTTTATCAAGTCAGATCAGGGCTAATGCCTTCGTCTCTCTGTTGCAGGACCAAACATCTGTACCACACGAGGCGTGAGCTCCTGCCAGCAATGTCTGGCTGTGAGTCCCATGTGTGCCTGGTGCTCAGATCAGGTAAGGAGCAGACACTTAACCTTACTTATTTCCCAGACTTAGCTGTTTTTGTGCAGGAACAGACCCATGGGAGATCTAATTCAGATGCTAGTTCAGGCCTTCCCATTGATGGATGCTGAAGTGAGCTGTTATGGGGTGCTGCTGGGAAGGCAATCCAGGGTTCATCACATGGCCCGGGGCCCTGGCCAATTTGGTTGGTCCTCCTGGACTTGCTGTAGCCATTGCCACCCTTCACCACACTTTGCTTACTTCTTGTTGGGGTGGAATACTCTGCAGAAGTAGAGCCTCAGACCTCAAAGGGAGAGGCAGGAGAGGATTATAGTTTCACTGGGGATGCTGGTTTACAGACATCCCAGAATATTAAAAGGCAAATAAAAAAGGACCTTGCCCTTGTGTGGGGGGAATGTTTTGTCAGAAGGTATTTTCTCTTTTCTTTTCCTCTCTGATGATGGAGCCCCAGGACTTTACCTTTTATTTTTCTCTCTCTCCTCCTTTTCTCCTTCTTTTCCTCTCCTAGGTGTCAATGAGGGAAGGACCAATTTGATGAAGATGGGTGGGTGACAGGAAAGGGTTAGCTGTGTCTAGGCAGAGGGTTTGTTGTGTCTGGGGCCCTAGGGAATGAGTGTGTCTGGGGGAATGGCTGTGTTTGTGGCTGGGACAGGAATTTGGAGCTGGCAAGACCTATTTGAGTTGTGGGGGGGTGGGGGGGGTGGGGCGGGGAGAGTGTGGCTGGAGAGTTTCCAGTGATTACAGAGTTGGAGGCTGAGTCATTGGCCTGGCCCCCAGCAGGTGGTTACCTGAACTCCTGGCATGGCTGTATGTATCTCAGTCATCTGAGGCGCCCTCTGTCACGATAGCATGTTCTTGCCCTCGGCAGTTTTGGGACTGCTCTAACCCAGGCTCTCATTCTCTCTGCTTCTCTTCCCAATCTACTGAGTTTCCTAAAAAGGCAACTTCCTGACAGGCTGGTGGTGGCGGGGGTGGGTGTGTGGGAGTGGGAGGCTGTGTTTATGCCTCTACAAGGGGACTGATTGCCAAAGGCAGAGGCCAGCTCAACACACTGCTTTGGCCTGTGTGCAATTCAGCACGGGAACTGCTTCCAGAGGCAGCTGCCCAACATCTGGGCCACATTGACTTCATTTAGCAAATGAAACATTCCCTGGGGCTGCGAGTGGGGGTGCAGAGGGGGATGGGTGAGCTGTTCCCCTCCACCCCAAAGGTTCTCCACCCCTCTGGGCTGAGCTGGCTGCTCAAGTGTGATGTGGTCTCCTCCCTTCTCATTTGCCATATCCTCCTTCCCTTAGTCACCATCCTGATAGTATTAAGTTTCTTTTACAAGGAAGTTGGAATTCTGTAGCTGAATCCTGGAAGATGGGAGAGCTAGATGAGGAGGGTGCCTTATTGGATGGATGGCCTGAAGCTGGCTGGGGCAGTGGGGTAGCCACAGGAGCAGCTCAGTATCTTCCTCCCTCCTTTTTCTCCCAAAGCAAGAGAAAGTGGAGACAACTATGGCCCAGAGGAGTCTGGGGGAAAAGAAAACATATTCTTTTTAAAAAAATAAAATATATTTTTATTGATTTCAGAGAGGGAGAGAAAGAGAGATAGAAACATTAATGATGAGAGAGAATCATTGATTGGCTGCCTCCTGTACACCCCACACTGGGGATTGAGCTGCAACCCGGGCATGTGCCCTGACAGGGAATCGAACCCTGACCTTCTGGTTCATAGGTTGACACACAACCACTGAGCCATGCTGCCTGCGCAAGAAAACATATTCTTAGAGTGTCTGTCACCTTTCTTGATCTGCATAGGGACAAGATATGCTGAGGATTAACCCAATGAAGCCCCTAGGATTCATAACCCGATTTCAGAGATACAAATGCAGATTATTTATGATGACCCTGGTGAATTTTGTCTCCTGGGAAAGACCAGGGGAGGGCAGGGTTTGAAGGTACAGGGTAAGATAAAAGCATAAGGTAGGACCAGACAAGGAATGGGGGGTGTAATCAGAGAGGAAATGGGTACACTAGGACCAAAAGCAATTAATGAGGGGAGGAAGAAAGTCCAATAAGATATTCTCTGGGAGAATGCAATATAAACAGGAAAGTGGGGGAGGTCAAAGGTTTAGCGAATGACTACAACTATCTCTGAGCTAGAGGGAGAAGGGGAGGGGAGGAAGAGCAAGGGAGGAGGGGGAGAGGAGGATATGGGAGGAGCCCCTTGTGAGACAAAACACATCAGCCAGGGAGGACTGGGAGGTGGGAATCCCAGGCTGTAACCTGAACATGGCTGTTATTTTTTCCTGACGTTTCCCCTGCAAAGGCTGTTTAACTGTTGAAAGTGCCTTGGCTGTTGACTTAAAAAAACCAAAAGTGAGCCGTGGGGGCCATTTTGTATGTGATTTGTTGATTAGTTGACCCTGGAGAGCCCGCTGCTTCTGCCTCCCCTACCTTGGCTGTTGTAGGCAGGATTGGCAGAGTCTGGAAAAACAACTGGTTGGGCTCAGCATTCCCTTGGTCCTCGAGGACAGCAGCTCTGGGTGTGTATAGCAAGCATTGGCCCCACAATAGGAAAACATAGCTAATGTGGATGAGTGCAGAGTTTTGGGCCCATCGCATAGGGTGTGTTCTTGGGGGGTTGGAAACTGACATGGGTTGGGGTGGTGTTCTGTCCTTGGGCTGTGAATCTAGCAAAGAGGCCGGCCTCACACAGAGATTCAACTTATGGTCTTGACCTCATTGGCTCCATGTTGGAATCTAAACCCTTCCAATCTTGCCTGGTGGTGAGAATGACCTGGGGTGTTGGTTAAGTATAAAGGTTCCCAGGATGAATCCTGTATCTACTACATCAGAATAGGTTGTTATGATAGCAAGTTTGGTAAATACTGCTAATTGAAAGGGCTGATCGTCGGGGCCATGGTGGGTCAGGTGGAGCTAAAGTTGCCAGATAAAATACAGGACACCCAGTTAAATTTTAATTAAAGAAGAAATAAGTTTTAGTATGAGAATGTCCCAAGAATTTGCTAAATTTGGCAACCCTGAGGTGGAGGGAAATACTAGGAATTTTTATATAGCCCTGACTGCACATAAGGAGGTGGACCAGCTCACACTCAGCTTGACATCCAAGGATGAAGAAGAATGGGTTTGGGTCTAGCAAAGTACAAGAATCCAATAGGAATTACTATGTTCTTCTCTGCATCTCTGGGGAAGGGCTTAGGCCACTATTCAGTTCCTTTTTATTTACTAACATCATTTCATTCTTCTCCGCTGCTTTTCTTTTCTTTCTGGTTTTTGTTTTTTTATGTTTTGTTTTGTTTTTTAATCTGGAGGATAAATGTTTATCTTGAGAGTTTTGCTTTAACTTTTTATTGCAAAAAAAGTATAATATTAAAAGTGTTTCTCTGTGAAACAATAGGTGTGAATACTAATAACCATGAACTAAAATGCTTTCCTTTCCCCTCCTCCTTTCTGTCTCCTCCAAACTCCATTCTTTGTACATTCAACTGATTTCTTATTCTCACTGGATGTCAATCTAGAGAACAATGTTAATTTATTTGGGGTTGGGTGTTTAGTAGCTCTCTGGGGGGGGGGGGGAGTAAGTACCAGCACATATTATTCTTTGTCCTCCAAGAACAGAGTACACCAAAATGGTAGTAGTTATAATGCTAATAGTGGGAAAGAGTCCCCTTCTATTTGCATTTATTTGTTTATGTATATCATACCTAAAGGATTTCAATATGTTTGGCTTATTTTGAGATTTTTGTATTTGGAAAGCATTTCACATTCACAGCCTTATTTTAATCCCCTGACCAACCCCGTGAGATAGGTAGGGCAATGACGGTTATTCATGCTGTACCTTCCCAGTTTCCAAGATGGGGTTCATGGAGAATGGGAGTAACAGCATGTGTCACTCTCCCAGGAGGAGGGCTCAGCTCACACAGCACATGGGCCAGAACCTCCCACCTCTTTGCTTCAATCTTCCTCTGGGTCTTGGTTATTTTTGCCCATTTTGTGTAACAGCCGGTTTCAGTGGGAACTGAAACTTTAATATTCCACCCTTCCTCCTCCTCTCTGAGTAACCTGGAGACATTCTTTCTATCCACTCAGCCTGGACTATTGAGAAAAGGAATGTTGGCCAAGTGTATTGAGGTCACTGCCTTGGTATTCTTCTGGGGCAAGAGGCTCTCAGGGAGAGCGTGGCCGAGGAGCAGGCCTGCTCTGTTCCTGACCTCTGGTGTCAGTGACCACAAAGCAGGAGGGGGGGGGATGGAGACAGTTTTTGTTTCTTAGTGTTTATATTTCTAAGGAAGCTCATAACAAACCATAAGGACAGTCAGCAAGGCTTAGCTCTTCAAACCTTCCAATATGCACTGTCCCATTAGAAAATGGGGTTCTGGAAACCAAACTCCAAACTCCTAACATTTCCTCTCTTTGCTGCTGCAGCTTGAAGATGCAGGATGGCCTTGCTGCTCTCATTCAGTGTCCTGGTCTCACCCCTCCCTCTCTCCTTCAGCATCTGTCTCAGTCCTGGAAAGACTCAGCTCCTCGGTGCTTCTTGTTCTATGCAGTCATTGCCTTTTTTGGAAGGGTTTCTCCCTGGGGCTTAGTGGGCAGCTGGAGTCCGAGATAAGGTAGGGAGTTTTCCGAGCAAGAAAGAGACTGCTTCCTGAGGGAGAAGCTTCGGGAGAGATGGGCAGGGGCAGCAAGAGGCGTTTGGGCACAAAAATGCGAACTGTTCATGAGTTCTGTCCTCTGTCCTTCTGTCCTCGGCCAGAGCTGAGTGCCGAGAGGGGATTTTCATTTCTCTCAGAGGCTTGGGGGATCTGTGCTGCCCCTGTTGGAACCTTCTGAGTCAGGAAGGTTAAGGCTTATGCACTGTTTCCCATTGCTGATGTCATTTCTCGACCACATACCTGGGAGAAAGAAGGAAGATGCTGGCTTCTGAAGGCTCTTTCTACTTTTTGCCTGGGCCAGGGCGGTCCTCATGCTGTTTGTCCTAGTGCATTCAGGCTGCTGTAACAAACATACCATGGACTGGGTGGCTTAACAACAAACATTAATTTTTACAGTTCTGGAGGCTGAGAAGTCCAAGATCAAGGTACCGTCTGCGTCATAGATGGCTGTCTTCTTGCTGTGTCTTCACATGGCAGAGAGGCCAGAGAGCTCTCGGGCTTGTTTTGAAGGGCACTAACCTCAGTCAAGAGGGCTCCACTTCGTGACCTAGTCACCTTCTCAGGCCCCACCTCCTAATTCCTTCACCTTGAGGGTTAGGGTTTAACGTATGAATTCTGGGTGGACACAAACAATCAGGGTGTAGCCCTATGGTGTTGTTCATCTCTCCACCCACCTTGGGAAGCCATTCAGCCCATCAGAGGAGGGCTGGGCAGGAGAAGGAGGGAGATTTCTAGCATCATGAGGGGTTTTAGGCTGTGGAGTCCTGACTTTTAAAACATGAATAGCCCCTAGTGGCCCAATCCCTCTCCTGAGCTACCAGTCACCTGAGGGGGCTAAAGAGGCAGAATGTGATCTATCCTTCCCCTACCTCCCACATCCTCATCCTGCATTCTGTTCCCTACCTGGGGCGTTCTCTGGTGTGGCTCTTCCCGGGCCCATCACTTCCTGCTTCTCTGCCTGGGTTCTCACTCTATGCAGAATGTAATACCATTTATCATTTTGTGAGGAGAATTGCAGTCAGACAATCTAATTAGCATCTCACTTCTGCCACTTCCTAGCTCTGTAACTTTGGGCAAGTCACTTAATTTCTTAGATTTCTTACCTGTAAGATTGGGTTCCTCGTTTGTGAAGTCTCCCAGCCTCAGGTTCCTCACTTGTAAAAGGAAAATAGTTCCAGTGTTACAGAGCTGTAACCAGGAGGCCCGCAGTAACCCATGCAAAGTGCTTAGCACAGTGCCTGCCATGCAGTAGGTGCTCCATAAACGTTCACACTAGTTGTTGTGGGATATCGGTATGACTTAGTCAGCTGACTTCTGGAAGTGGTTGTGAGAGGGGTGGGTGGAGATTGAGGTTTGGTTTGAGGGCTTGAAGGCCTAGATATTGTGAAATAGGTCCAGGGTGGGGTTTTCCAGATTTCCTGCCAGTCCCTCCAGCCTGCCAAGGAGCCCCGATGGACTTGTGCCCACACAGCGTTGGCTAAATTTACTGGATGTCAGAGCAGGAAGGGACTGAACACACCCAGTCCTCTAAGCCCCTTTTGAATAGGTGAGGAAACTGAGGCCAACAGGAGTGAAATGAGTTATTTGAGGTCACATGCCTAGTTCGTGGCAGACCTAGGATCGAACCTATTTCCTGATTTCCAGTGTTCTTTCCAGTGCAGATGTCTCCCATTCAATACTCAGGTGTAAACACACACAGAGCTCCAGAGGGTGGGATACACACCAGGGTTTTTGGAAGGGTGATCAATTGGCTCTCTGTCCAGGGTGAGGGAGGAAGCTTAAAGTGATAGGATGGACTCTGGCCAGTGATCTGGCACCATGGGACTTGCCCAAGCTTGGGAAGCTTATTCAAAGTTAATTTATCCAGGAACTATTTACAGAGCATCTTAATAATAAAAGGCTAATATGCAAATGGTCATGAAGCCCTCACGTGTAACGACCAATCAGTAGGAGGCTGCATGCACAGCAGGTGTGGGTGGGCAGGGACTTGCAGCATCAGGGACTTGCATGAAGCTCGCGTCCCCGCCCCCGGCTCCAGGCCCAGGGATGTGAGGCTCACGGAGGCCTACCTCTTTGGGGCGATGGATTGTGAGGCTCCCGCACTGTGACAGGGCACAGGCCAGGCTGGGGGGAGCCCCCCGCACCCCGAGTGCACGAATTTCGTGTACTGGGCTACTAGTCTCATAATAATAGCTAACCTTCATTAATCACTTATTCTGTGGCAGGCACCATGCTACGAGTTTTACCTGCATTGTCTTATTTTGTCCTGCATAACATCCCTGTGAGGCTGGGGCTGTTACTGTCTCCACGGTATCGCTGAGGAAACAAGGTGTGGAGCGTTTAGGTGACTCATGCTAATCACTAGCTAATAAGAGGTAATGCTGAGATGTAGTCTCAGTCAATCTGCTCCTATGTGCTTAGCCCCTACTCTCTGCTGCTGCCCAGTACCTCTTCCCCCATCACCTCTGTGGTAAGTCCTGGTTTGGGAACTGGGAGTAGAAAAGGAACAGCCCCTTCCCTCATAAATCTCAGATCCTAGTCAGTGTCTTAATGCAGTCAGCTTCCAAACTGCTTTGATCTTGACCTTCAGAAAGAAATTGCATGTCATTATGTATTTTACATATTATACCCTACTCCCAAACATATACATGTTTCACAAAACAATATTTACTTTTGCCATTTATGTACTTTCATACTTTCTATTCTATTCTATTGCATTTTATTTGATAAATAGATGGTTGAGACCCACTTCATTGATTTTTAGGACCCACCGTGGGTTGCATTTCAGATTTGGAAAAGCAGTAGCTTAACAGGCATCGTACTGAATTGGCTCTCTTCCTGGCTACCAATCCACGAGACAGTACTCACCCAACCTTTCTGTGGCCTCAGTTCTCTCCTTCTGTATAATGGATCACACGAGTTCATTTATGCTGGTTCAGCCCCAAAATGCTGGATAAGCTCTCAGCCATTGGGAGGCAGCAGGGCCTGCAGGAGGCGGAGAACCACCGTGGCTCCAATTACAGGGCTGCCCCTTGGGCTCCTGTTTTACAGACCCTGACTCCGGGCTCACCCCGCTGTAACCTGAAGGAGAACCTGCTGAAGGATAACTGTGCCCTGGAGTCCATCGAGTTCCCCCTCAGTGAGGTCCGCATCTTGGAGGCCAGGCCTCTCAGCGACAAGGGCTCTGGAGACAGTTCCCAAATCACTCAAGTCAGTCCCCAGAGGATTGCGCTCCGGCTCCGGCCAGGTAGGGATGGGCACACTGTGGGGAGACACCGGGCAGATGCACACAGGGCACAAGGTGGAGGTCTGATCAGGAAGCGTTGGGGAAGACACTCGCAATGGTAATGGTGCAGGAAGAGAAGGATGTGGGGAACGGTGTGGGCAGGAGAATGGAAGATGTTGGGACTTGGCGTCAGAAGATGGGAGTTTGAATCTTGACTCTCCCATATATTAGTTATTATATTAGTTATTTGAACTTGGGCAAGTTACTCATCCCATATATTAGTTATTTGAACTTGGGCAAGTTACTCAACCCTTCTAACATAGTAGGGACTCAAAAAACGTTTGTCCCTACTTTCCCCCAATGCCTATTTTGCCAAGCTTGTGCTTTGTGTTGAGGCTCAAATGAGATATAAGATGAGAAAGCAATTTATAAGCCCCCTTTCCGTGTGAGATTTGGGGCAGGGACATGGGGGCAAAGAGAAGCAGAGGGAGGAAGAATTAAGCTAAGAAACAGGCTTTTTGAAGCATTGATTGTGACTTTTCTGATTAAATCAAGACTGTAAGAAAGCACCTTCTATGTGTAAGTCATGTGGGTGCTATGGGTTCAGCCTTTTCTAGAGTTTGAAGTATAGTAACTACCACAACTTCAATGACTCAAGGTAGTAGACTCTCAGGATCCAGAGGATTAGGCAGATGGGCAGAGAAGGTAGAGAATATTAAAATGGAAAAGGTTAAAAATGGGAGGGTCAAGAGATTGGAAGGGGAAGGGGGAGAGGAGAAGGGACCAGGGTTTTCAAGTTTGGTTTGGTCAAGAAGTTTCTTAATCCTGTGTCCATCCAAATCCATTTGTTAAGTCTTTGAGAGAGAAGAGGAGAAAAACTAACATCCTTCTGTCGTCTTCCAGATGATTCGAAGAGTTTCTCCATCCAAGTCCGGCAGGTGGAGGACTACCCTGTGGACATCTACTACTTGATGGACCTGTCTTACTCCATGAAAGATGATCTGACGAGCATCCAGAACCTGGGTACCAAGCTGGCCTCCCAGATGCGCAAGCTCACCAGTAACCTGCGGATTGGCTTTGGGGCCTTTGTGGACAAGCCTGCATCGCCATACATGTACATCTCCCCACCAGAGGCCCTCAAAAACCCCTGCTACGAGTAAGTCCTTCTGGAGAAGTCAAGGCAGGGCATGGGGGCAAAGAATATAGGGATAAGAGACTTAATCCTTCCTTAGAAGGCTCTTAGAAGCATTGATTGTGATTTTTCTAATTAAATCAAAGAAAATTTAAGGAAATACTTTCTATGTATAAGGCAAGTGGGTGCTATGGGATTCAGGGTGGGACATAGCTCCAGCATTTTCTAGGGTCTGAAGTGTATTAACTTCCACAACTTCTATGACTCAAGGTAGTAGATTCTAGGGTAGCTTTGTTGGCTATCTTCTGACCAAATCATATCTTCTCTCTACCTTAGTCTTCCTGTCCAGCAAGTGAGCCACCCTATTGATCTGAGTGTTGTGGCAAAAGGTCTCAAAAGCTGTTTGAAGACCTAGAAAAAAAATCTATCAGCTTCTTGGTCTTGTTCACAACTAAACTGGAAACAAGAGAATGCTGGGGGTAGCAGGAATAAGATCAAAAGTAGAGAGAAATTTATGGATAAGTAAATAGAGGAATTATGATTTCAGAAGGATTGATTTCATTGTTATTTTCATCATTGTTCTACTCATCAAGAGTATGAGTCTTCAAGGTTAAAATACTTATTATGTAATTGGTGGAGACTATGAAAATCCATAACAATTTTTAATGATGGTTTCTGAGCCTCACAAGTACAGATTTATTTTTGAGTTTTCAAAGTTATATGGTATGCCTTTTTAAGCTTCTGAGTTGTAAGGTTCCCCAGTTAAGATATCAGCCATCAATTAAACAAACAAACCATTGGGCTGGGGACAGAAATGCTACTGTCTGGCACAGATCTACCAACATTGTTATTGGTGAAACGTTTGCTTTATTGTTGTGTTAATGTTACTTTAGAGAAATATTAAATATAAGGTGATAGCAACAGCAAGAGCCTCTGAGCTAAGTGCTTTGTGTTAACTCATTGAAGCCTTACAATAACTCTTATGAAATATGTGCTCTCATTTCCCATTTTTATAAGTTAAGGGTAGAGAAACTTGCCTAGGGTTCCATGACTTATAAGTAGAGGAGCTGAGATCTGAACCAAGGCAATGTAGTTTTGCAGCTCACTCTTTTGCCCTCTAGGCTAGCAGGAGGTAAGGTCAATGTGGTCATTTGAGGGGTTTGGAGTCTAAACTGGGTAATCGTCTAGGACCTAGACTCTAGGTAATTTCCAGTTCTCTACAAATATGGATAATCCTGTTATCCATATTTGTTTCCCCTTTTTCCCCCTCCCACTCCCCATGTAGTCTTTCCCATCAGGCTGTCTGCTTAAATTATCTTCTTCCCTTCCCAGTATGAAGGCCACCTGTTTGCCCATGTTTGGCTACAAACATGTGCTGACACTAACTGACCAGGTGAACCGCTTCAACGAGGAGGTGAAGAAGCAGAGTGTGTCACGGAACCGAGACAGCCCAGAGGGTGGCTTTGATGCCATCATGCAGGCTACAGTCTGCGATGTGAGTTTGGAGGGCATGGAGTGCCGTGTGGTTAGTGCAGATCAAATGGGGAATGACGTGGTTCTACTGTGGGGATTTCTATGTGAAATAAGAGCTAGGAATTAAGCAGAGCTTCATAGGCAAAAATAAATAAATAAATAAAAATAAAAATAAAAATGAGTATAGGCAAAAAATTGCTCCTGATAAGCAACCTCTGCTTATATCTGCTCCCTGGCCAGAGCTGACAATTTTTGAACCACTTGGTAGCAGATGTTCTCTGGGAGAGCATTTACTCATCTTCTCTAGAAGTGTATCAGGATCAAGCTAGGTTAACTTAACCTCAGGTAAGCAGGAAGATGTTAAACAAGGATTTCTTCTAGCCCAGCTCAGCTCTGCAGATGCAGGTGGGTTTCTAAGCGGGCCATGTGATTATCACTGGAATTGAATTGTGTCTCTTGGCTGCTTGAACTAATCAGCCATGAGACTGTTTTCCTAAGAAACAGAAACCCCTGAGTTGGGAAATTTCAACTTGTGTTCCAAGGACTGGGACTGAGGCCCTTCACCAAGAGAACTTGTTCAGACCTTCAGGCAGGGAGGTCCTTTGGATCTTTGTTTTTTGCCAATGAGACATCTAAAATTGCTTTCTCGCCCTAGCTGGTTTGGCTCAGTGAATAGAGCGTCAGCCTGCAGACCGAAGGGTCCTGGGTTTAATTCGGTCAAGGGTACATGCCCGGGTTGCAAGCTCAATCCCCAGTGGGGAGCGTGCAGGAGGAAGCAGTTCAATGATTCTCTCTCATCATTGATGTTTCTATCTCTCTCTCCCCCTCTCCTTTTCTCTCTGAAAATCAATAAAAAAATATTTTTAAAGTCGCTTTCCCTCTTTTACCTTTTTTTTTTTTTAAACAGGAGAAGATTGGCTGGAGGAATGATGCATCCCACTTGCTGGTGTTTACCACTGATGCCAAGACCCATATAGCATTGGATGGAAGGCTAGCAGGCATTGTCCAGCCCAATGACGGGCAGTGCCACGTTGGCAGTGACAACCATTACTCTGCTTCCACTACCATGGTGAGGTTCTTGGTTTTTTTTTTGTTGTTGTTGTTGTTTTAAATATATTTTTATTGATTTCAGAGAGGAAGGGAGACAGAGTGAGAGATAGAAACATCAATGATGAGAGAGAATCATTGATTGGCTGCCTCCTGCACACCCCATACTGGGGATTGAGCCTGCAACCTGGGCATGTGCCCTGACTGGGAATCGAACTGTGACCTCCTGGTTCATAGGTCGATGCTCAACCACTGAGCCACGCTGGCCAGGTCATGTTGAGGATCTTGACACCACCTATGCTCTCCATTTACCATGGCCAGCTGCCCTAACCCAGGCAGAGTTTTTGTGTGAATATGAAAATGGAAGCCCTTCCTCTGGCCAGGGTTCAGGGCTCATTTCAGCCTGCCCTCACCCCCAACTGGACATTCTTATTCAGGGTACAACCTGTACAATCTGTAGTCAGGGCCTGGCTGTGATCAGTATTACCACTATCTCCACTGCCTCCAGCACAAGCAATAGCATCATAGCATCCAGAATGGACCCGGAGGACTTTTGCAGGTCCAGCTGGAAAGCAGGCCTTCTCATCTACTGCATGGATTAGCCCTTCTTGGAATACCATCCTCACTTTTGGTTATCAGAAGTAGACAGAGAAAAAAGAGACAAACATCATCAAAAGCATGGAGAGCTAGTCCTGTGAGGAAAAGTCTCAGAATCATTTAGCTTGAAAGAATGAAGGGTAAAGGATGATTTAGCTGAGATATGAGAAGCCTTCTTATAAGTTGTTTTCTATGATCATAGAAGGTTAAATAAGAGGAAAGGGATTTAAATGGAAACAAGAGAAATTGATGTATGCCATAAAGAGAATTTACAGATCCTCAGAGTGCTGATACTCTGGGTATCTTGGGGGAGGTCTGAACTCTTTATTTTATCTCTTAAAGACAATATAGCAACTACCTTGTCTAGGTAGCTTAAAATATACACCTGTGTTAAGGCAGGAGCCTAAGCTGGATGATCTCATGAGTTCCCTGGAAGGTCTAGGATCCCAGAGACATGTTCACAATTCACCAGCATCCCCATTGTGACTTGAATTCCTCGGTGTCAGTCATATCTAAGTAGAGCACTACCCAGCAATGGGTGAGTCAGTAACCACTGACACTTATTCTAGGTAAGACTCCTTACCAGGGGCTAAGGTAGATAAAGAGACTATATAGAGGTGCTACCCTTATGAAATTTTTGGTTTCGATGAGGAATGAGTTACCAATAACACCAGATGCATGCTTAGTGTTAAATGATCAGCACAGTCAATAAGGTCTTTATATATTCAAAGGAGGAAAGCTCCTCATGAGCTGGAATGGTCAAGGAAGGCCTCCTGGGGAAAGCAGGACCTGAACTGTGTCCCTAGGCAGGAGCAGGATTACCAAAAAGAAGGCCACTCTAGGTGGGAGAAAGAGAATAGGCCAGGTCAGTGGTAAGTGGAAGAGGGAGAGAGGTGAGTGGTGATTGGAAAGGAAAGGTGGAAGGACCACATGGTGGAGTATTGCAAGCACCAAGCGAAGGCATTTGTCAGTAGTTGCAAAACAAGCATCAAAACAAGGTCTAACAATACCTGGCCCATGGAAGCAGTTCCTTGGTATGAATGCACCGAATTCAAGCAGGAAAAAAGAGGTGCTTAGTTTTGACACCACCAGCCTGTACCTCTTCATTTAACCCTGGAATTCACAACTGGGTTTTTGCTGCTACTTGCCCCATTGCCTCACATTGATCACGGGGTGGAAAGGTTTATGTAAGTACCACCAATGTCTGGGCCATGGCTCAAGTCAGCCAAGGTCTAAGGCTTAGAGTCCAGAGATGGAAGTGAATAGACTTCTTAAGTAACTTCCACATCCTCCTTTATATATTGTATTGATTTCAGAGAGGAAGGGAGAGGGAGAGAGATATAGAAACATCAATGATGAAAGAGAATCATTGATCGGCTGCCTCCTGCATGCCCCCCACTGGGGATTGAATCCACAACCCGGGCATGTGCCCTTGACTGGAATCGAACCTGAGGACCCCACCCCACCCCAGTCCACAGGACAATGCTCTATCCACTGAGCCAAACCAGCTAGGGCTCACATCCTCTCTTTTTATAGGATTATCCCTCTTTGGGGCTGATGACCGAGAAGCTGTCCCAGAAAAACATCAATCTGATCTTTGCGGTGACTGAAGGAGTAGTCAAACTCTACCAGGTAACTATGCCATCAGGGCTTCCTAGAATGGGAGTGGAAGTGGGAGTGGGAGTGGGGCTGTGATGGGAGGACTTATCTTAGGGAACCAGCATTGACCATGGTTCCCAACCAGGAAAGATGCTCCTACAACCTGCTCCCAGGAGCTAATGATTCCTTTCCAGCTTTGACCTAGCAGTATGGGTGTTTGCTGTGGGGAAGGGAGCAAGTCAGTGGGGTAAGGGGTGTGAGAGGTGTTCTCTAATTTTGCTCAGTGCTGAAAAACTGCTAGATTTATTCCTGGTAGTGACAAGACAAATATCCTCTCTTTCTCCTCAATCTTCATTTCAAGACCCTTCATCTGATTAGGGGAGGGCATTTGGGGACCACCACCTTCATTCAGTCAGTCTTGTATATTTTCGTCTTCCTTTCTAGAACTACAGTGAGCTCATCCCAGGGACTACAGTGGGGGTTCTGTCTGCCGATTCCAGCAATGTCCTCCAGCTCATTGTTGATTCCTATGGGGTAAGTGTCTTACACTGGAAAAGGGCCGGCTAAGAGTGCACCTCACTTGGCATTTACCCAGGAGGACTCAGATTTGTGAGTCATGGCTGCCAGTTTACCTTGCACCCTTCCTCTTGTTCATCGAGGGGCCAGGTGATGGCCAGCACTGAGAGGAATGCAGCCTTCTGAGAAAGAAATGGCTCAGAATGGAAAGCCAGGGAGCTTGGGAACAATGGGGGAAGAGCTTAGAGGAGGTAGAAGGGAAAGAGAGGATGGGGGCGAGGATGAGAAAGGAGCAGAGTCCTGAAATTAGAGGAGGAGACTGAGTGAGGGAGAGCTGGGCTCCAACAAAAGAGAAAAAGAGGGAGCTGAGCCACAGGGAAGGTGAGGCTGATAAAAAATTAGGTAGAAATTGCTACTACCCAAGGTGACCAGCATTAGCACTTCCCTTTCGCGCAGCCAGGAGGCCTACAGGAGGGTGTGGCTGGTTTAGATGTTATCCAGACTCACCTAGACACAAGTGAGGAGAGAGAGAGGGAGCAGAGCCTGGGCCGGAAATATAGCAGGTAGCAGGCTCTTAGGGGGACTCTGGCAACTTCCAAGTGAACCTCAGCAGCTGGCACTGCAGGGTCAGTCCAGGGCCACCTGGGAGATTCTGCTTGGGGTGGAATTGGCACCTACCCATTTCCTCTCAGTCCATTTCCTTACCTTCTTTTGCTCAGAAAATCCGCTCTAAAGTCGAGCTGGAGGTACGTGACCTTCCCGAGGAGTTGTCTCTATCCTTCAACGCCACTTGTCTCAACAACGAGGTCATCCCAGGCCTGAAGTCTTGTGTTGGACTCAAGATTGGAGACACGGTAAGGAGGTCTGGGCAGGGGCTGACCCTGGCCTGTGCCCTGGCATGTCTGTGGGTACCCCACCCCTTCCTTCTTCCCTGTACCTTCTTCCTGCAGGTCATTATCACCTGCAATGGAGCTAAGGCTTCTGTTGCCTAAACTTTATCTGTTAAGTGAACTTCATTGTCAGGATTTTTTAAAACTTGAATTGAGGTTACCTCTGTTTATTTATACACAGTTGATTGCCAATGAAAATATTTCTTACCTTCAGCCCCTAACCAGTCTCCAACCCTGCCCCAGCCCCCAAGGTAAAGCCTTTCTTTCCTCCACAGTGTAAAATGGTAGTCTTCTATAGGTATTTATTGAGCACTGACTTTGTGCCAGACATTGTTCTAGTTGCTGAAGATTCAATAGCAAAGGGAACAGGTGAAAATACCCACCCTGATGGAATTTCAGAATGCAAATGTTCATTTTGCCCTTCCAGTCCCTCTGGCTTGCCTTACTTAGTTGTTGGTTCTCCTCTGTTTCTGTTTAAGGGGAGACGGGTTGGTGAAGGCAGGTGGAGGAAAGAGGGGGATATTTATATATCCATTTTTTTGAAGATTCTAACCTATTGCATTCTCTCATAAATTATAAAATACAAAGGTGGCTATATTAATGACAAACTCAAACAGCACTGAGAGGGGTTTGTCAATGGGCAGAAGTCCGTCCCTCTGGGTGGGGCCCAGAACTCCCAGGTAGATGGTAGCCTCCCTATTGCTGGGCCAGAAGTGCTGTCCTGTTGGCCTTCATCTTCTCCAGCCGCTTGGCCAGGTGGCTGTTGGTCATGTCCACTTCCTCCATCTTGTCCAGTGCTGTTCGTAACTCTTTTTTAAAAAAATATATTTTATTGATTTCTTACAGAGAGGAAGGGAGAGGGATAGAGAGTTAGAAACATCGATGAGAGAGAAACATTGATCAGGTGCCTCCCGCACACTCCCCACTGGGTATGTGCCTGCAACCAAGGTACATGCCCTTGACTGGAATCGAACCTGGGACCCTTGAGTCCGCAGGCCGACGCTCTATCCATTGAGCCAAACCAGTCAGGGCTGTTCGTAACTCTTGTTGTAACTTCCTTTTTTCTGCTTTCAGTTCATCTTCCACTTTCTCAGCATTCTCAGCAGCAGTTCTAGATCTCAGCACCTGTCCCTCAAGCCGCCTAATACTTTGCTCCAAGGTGGTTATAAACTGTTCTGCTTTTTTTTTTTTTACCATTTTATTTTTTTTATTGATTAAGGTATTACATATGTGTCCTTATCTCCCCATTGCCCCCCAACCCCCCCCACTCATGCCCTCATCCGCCCTGGTGTCTGTGTCCATTGGCTAGGCTTATATGCATGCATATAAGTCCTTTGGTTGATCTCTCCCCCTGACCCCTACCCTCCCCTACCTTCCCTCTGAGGTTTGTTGGTCTGAAAGATGCTTCTCTGTCTCTGGATCTGTTCTTGTTCTATTCACTAATTTGTCTATTAGCATCTCTGCATTTTGATGAACTGCAAGTCTGAGCCATCGCCCCTGGAGCACTTCTGCTGCTCCTCCTCTAACTGCAGCTTCAGTTTTTTAACCTGTGATAGTAGCTCTTCCTCTCTCCAGCAAGTTTTCATAGCCTTACATCTAGAGGACCCTCTCCTGCGGACTCCAAGACCTGAGCAGCTTCCCGAGACACCAGAGTGATGGCTCCAAGCACTGGTTCATGATTGGCATCACCACTGGGAGGGCCGTCGGGGAGTATAACTAAGCCATGTTTCTCAATAAGCTCATCTCTTTGTCGGAGGCCTTCTTTAAGTTGATCCATTTTGTGCTGCAGCACACTACACATGTTTCTGCCTTTCTAACGCCTTTGATTTTTCATTTTCTCTATAAAATTTTGCCATCTGTTCCTCTTGTTCTTCAATAACAGCCTTGAGGGTATCTACCTGGTAGATCAAATTGTTCTTCTCATTGTCTGACTGTGCGTTAGAAACCATGGCTTTCTTATATCTTTCTTCCACTTCAGACAAAGACTCCCGCAATTCACTTAATGAGGTGTCTGGATCTATTGAGCTGCTGGTGTCCCTGCTTCCTCGTCTGGGCGTTTTTCCGCTTAGAGGGCTTGTTGCTGAGACAGGATTTCGAGACGAAGGTCTTGTGTAACGTTCAGCACACTGTTTGTCAGACTTCTCATCCAACTCGATTTGCTGCCGTTCCAGTTCTCTCACACGCGTATCTCTTGCTTCTGCCCCGGGCAGCCTGTTTCGCTGCCAGCCTTGCCTCTGCCTCTCTGGCAATGTTACTCAGAGCTTCACCTCTGCAGAAAATCGGTCTCTCACAGGTGTCCTTTTCCTTCCCGAGCCAGGAGTGCCCATCTTGTCTTGATCGTCTTTTAACTCTGAAAAATGATTCTGTCTGTTTTCAGCCCTGTCCCTGGACGCGGGCAGTGGCTGCGGCGCTGCAGGGGAAGGGCCGGAACGCGGCCCGCCGGCCCGGGAGTCCGCCGGGGCGAAGAAGAGCGGGGAGCAAAGGGCGAGGGGCGCGGAGGGTGACCTCGGTCCTACGTCCCCCGCCAGGCGGGCCGGGCTGGACACGGCAGCTCCAGGTGCCGGCATCCGGTCAGCCAGTCACGCCGGTGTCCCCTAGGCGCCACGGCTCAGGCCCCGGGAGGAGCCGGGGAGGCGGCGGAGAGGCGGGGCACTAATATCCATATTTATATTATCTATATTATCTATATCTAGCTCCACCCATCCATCTGTCTATTTTAGGCACATTGCACATACCTCATGTAAGAAATATTGGCCTGAAATGTGTTTGATTGCCCAGTGATGAAATGTTATGTGGAAATGGAATGGTAGATCCTGAGCCTTGTATGGTACAAAAGACTGCTTTGTCGGTCTTGCTGAGGAGATGTAATCAGCCCAGGTAGCTTCGTTGGCCAGAGCAGAGAGTTCACAAGATCATAGGTTCTGTTCTGCTTGAGCTGGTTTATTTCACATGTGGAATAAAAAAACACACCCAGCCCCAGCTGGTTTGGCTCAGTGGATAGAGCGTTGGCCTGCAGACTGAAGGGTCCCGGGTTCGATTCCGCCCAAGGGCACATGCCCGGGTTGGGGGTTCAATCCCCAGTGGGGGGCATGCAAGAGGCAGCCGATTGGTGATTCTCTCTCATCATTGATGTTTCAATCTCTCTCCCTCTTCCTTCCTCTCTGAAATCAATAAAGAAATATTTTTTAAAAAACCAACCTTCTCTATCATACCTGTAACACCTGTCTGCACCCAGCCAGATATGTCACAGCTGCACAGCTATTCAGGGCTTTTGTTTTTGCTTTGCAGACGTTGGTGTGGGAAGGCACCTCGTTTGGGTATTCCCTAGCAGAGCAGAGAACAGCTTATTTCCAGGGCTGGAGTGTTAACAGGGTCTACCTGTATCTGAATACAATCTTATTTTCCATCCAGGTGAGCTTCAGCATCGAGGCCAAGGTGCGAGGCTGCCCCCAGGAGAAGGAGAAGTCCTTTACCATCAAGCCTGTGGGCTTCAAGGACAGCCTCACCGTCCAGGTCACCTTCGACTGTGACTGTGCCTGCCAGGCCCATGCCGAGCCTTACAGCCGCCGCTGCAACAACGGCAATGGGACCTTTGAGTGCGGGGTGTGCCGCTGCGGGCCTGGCTGGCTGGGGTCCCAGTGTGAGTGCTCAGAGGAGGACTACCGCCCCTCCCAGCAGGACGAGTGCAGCCCCCAGGAGGGCCAGCCTGTCTGCAGCCAGCGGGGCGAGTGTCTCTGTGGCCAGTGCGTCTGCCACAGCAGTGACTTTGGCAAGATCACGGGCAAGTACTGCGAGTGTGATGACTTCTCCTGTGTCCGCTACAAGGGAGAGATGTGCTCAGGTGAGTAGAACTGCATATCCCTCCCATCCTGATACCCACACACACTCACACATCTGAGCTTGAGGTGGGCACAGGAAGGCCCATGGGGCAGAGCTGAGTAGATGGTATTTTACTCCGGTGGGAGAAAACAGAAATGAGGTTCTCTGTCATTCCTCTCAGCTCCCTATGTCCTTGCTCGTGGGGTACAGGGAAATTTGCTCGTAGGAAGGAGTGGGGAAACTTGAAGGTGAAGATAGTTTTTTTCTTTTCTTTCGTCTATCCTCCACCTAATATTGTAAGTCATTGGTTCTTCATCGTTTTGAGGATACGAACCAACCCTTTTTCAAGGAGAAAAAAAATCACTAACTGATGGTAATTAAATTTCTAGTATTTATAGATTTGGAAAATACATGATGTCAGAATATATAGTAAACTAGGTAATAACTGTCTTACATGGATTTATCTTTTCATCACAAAAAGACTTGGAAAATAGTAATGGATACCCAAGGCATTGGAGCACATTTAATGAGCCAAGTACACTTGGCACAATGACTGGAAAACAGAAAGCTCTTATTAAATGTTGGCACTATTTTGTTATCACTATGGGTATTACTATTACTTTTTGGATTCTAGATCTGTGCTGATCAAATGGTAGCCACTGGCCACATGTGGTTATTTAAATCTAAATTAATCAATTCAGTTAATTAAAATTAGAAACTCAGTTCTTCTGTTGCTCAGGAGCCACACGTGGCCAGTGGCCACCACGATGGACAGCACAGATGTATATGGAATAGCACTGCTATGGAGAGTCCCGGCCTGCCGACTGGGGATTATGATATTGAGTCCTTCTACCTGCAGGATACTGAGTTGTTGTCCTTCTCATTACAACAATTCAGTAAAATCTTGGCCCATTGATCATCTCAAACTAGCTTCTCCTTGTCCCAAAGACCACTCCTGGGGTACTTCCCCAGCCAGAAAAAGTTGAGCTGATGTTGACGTAGTCTTTATCTGCACTGACAATACTCTAGGACAGTGATGGCGAACCTTTTGAGCTCGGCGTGTCAGCGTTTTGAAAAACCCTAACTTAACTCTGGTGCCGTGTCACATATAGAAATTTTTTGATATTTGCAACCATAGTAAAACAAAGACTTATATTTTTTATATTTATTTCATATATTTAAATGCCATTTAACAAAGAAAAATCAACCAAAAAAAATGAGTTCGCATGTCACCTCTGACACGCGTGTCATCACTGTTCTAGGAGGCAAATAGGCCGTCTGGGTTGTTCCCGGGGCACTGGGGAACGGGTCAGGGAAAACGCAGTTGCAGCTTGCCCTTCTCAGATGATATCTCTCTCTGCTCCTCTCCTTGATGAGCCAGCCCTTCCTTTTTTTTTTTTTTTTTTTTACTGGGCTGTAACCACTGTGGCTTAATCCCTCTTGTGACAGATTGAAGATGTTTGCATATTGGTTGGGACTGGTTTATGGGTGTATTGTGTGGCCAATCAAACAGAGATTATAATTGGCTTCTATGGTGACCAAATCCATGACCCAAGTTGGCTTCATTTGCATTGGGGTTCTAACCAGCTGAGCTCATCCACCAGATGTTCACTTTAACATCAGCCTTTAAAAAGACTTGATGACAAAGGTAAATCGATGTCATTCTAAAGCATGTCCAATAATATAAAAACGGCTCCTGTTTATTATCAACGTTGTTTCCTTTACTCATGCCAACAAAGTATGAGAGAGGTTGGAGAAAAGGATATGAGAGCAATTAATTGAGAGATCAGACACACACACACACACACACACACACACACACACACACACTAGCAGTTTGATTTAAGAGATGAGGCAGGAGTAAGTTCATTTTAATATTTAATGATATTTACATCATATTCAAAGTACCAAAGGGAATGGGTAAATTTGACGTGGGAGATCCCTTGTGGGGGGAGATTGGGGCTGAAGGGGAGAGGGTTGTCGGAGGAGAGGCCTACAGATAGCCCACTGTGGGCCCCCGGGACAGAGGGAGGTGCACTGGGCTTCCATGGCCTGATTGTTCCTGGCCTGGTGTGGGAGGGATCCCAGCAGAGTGTTTCCTTTGGCTGCCAGCCCCACTGAAGCCACGAAACATAGCTGCTGGGGTCCGCAGCCCCGGTTCCTGCCTCCCACCAGGGCGAGAACAGCCTGTCCTCTATGTGCTGCAGCCTAATTCATGAGGGAACCACAGCAGCCACTGCAGCCTCTCGGAGGCTTCCCTCCCCCACTTCCTGCCAGCGTTCTGGGTGCCCACTGGTCTCAGGGCTGGACCCTGTGGTGCGTCATCACATTCCCCAGTGACAGATACTCGGGGACACACGATCATTGAGCACCTGCCCTGTGCCAGGCACCCAGTCCAAATGGGGTGAGCAGGGGTCGTGCATGATTCCTACCTTCTCTGAGCTTATAGCTCAGCTGGCTATTGTCCCTCCCCAGAGCTGTTGGCCTGTAGTCTAATGTTTGCTGCAAACAGGGGCTCAGGAGGCAGGAGGGCTATGACTTGGCCATTTCTCTAGCTCCTGGCCTCCCCCCTCCTCTCCTTCCCAATGGAGGCACGCATGGCCTTCGTGGTTGCACCTTGTCAAACACAGGGAGTGCATCTTTGTCCTGGTGAGACCCTTCCACCTACCACATTCATGTACAGAGATTGGTCGCCTCCCCGCCCTCGTGAGCCAGGTTCTGTGCTGTGTGCTGTAGTGATGTGCGATAGAGAGGCATGATAAGACAGTTTGCCCTTCATTCACTTACCTGAGCATAAATCACAACACAAGGCACAACCTGCCCGATCCGAGAAGAGAGGTCCTCAGGGAGTTCCCCGCACAGAGACTCACTGTGGACACGCGAGGCCTGGGTGGCTTCATGGAGGAGGTGGGATAGCAAAGGAAGGGCTGGCTCATCAAGGAGAGGAGCAGAGAGATCTATCATCTCAGAAGGGCTCTGCATGGAAAGAGGGACTGCGTTTCCCCTGACCTGAAATAAGGGCCCCTCCTTGTTGCCTCCTGCCCTACTTTCCTCCTCTTTCTCACACTTTCTCTTCACTTATCCCCCCTTCCTCTGACTTTCCTATGAACCCAGACTCAGCCACCCTGTTGCTGGAGGGGCGCCAGTCCTGTGACATTACTACACTGTGGCTTCCTTTTCAGGGTTGACCCTGCCGGGGCTGGGGGTCAGCCTGCTGGCTCTGGCCTGCCACTTCCCCTCCAACCTCACTCCCTGGCCGGCCTGGCGGACCCTTTCCTCAAAGATCACTTTGTTTAGCTTCACAAAGGAAACACTATGGGACAAGGGTTTCTGAGGCGGCTGAGGTCTCTGAGGGCTGCCAGGCCTCTGTGGTGCCGGCCTTTCGCTGGCCGGGAGCCCTGGCCAAAAGGTGGGTGTAGTGGGTACTGTGGGCCCCCCCTGCTGGCTGGCACACCCCCCCCCCCCCGACGCTGTGAGGGCTGCTCATAACAGTGCACAGCTGCCCTTTCTCTGGAGAATTATCTTCCGCTGACAGGAGCTGTCTTGCCCTCAGACCTTGGCCAATGACTGACGGATCAGGGGTTACACAAGGCCAGGTCCTTTGCCTCAAAGGTGGGCTAGGTCTGTGGTGCCATTCATCTCCGGAGCCCACTATGGGATCAGGCCAAAGGGAGTCTCCAACTGAAACCACACCCTGCCAGCCTTTGACGTCTGCCCTGCGTCCCTCCCTCCCTTCTACTAAGTCACTTGAACAAGAATCTCCCCATAAGCTGTACTTCTAGGGAACCCAACCTCTTTCTCCTTTCTCCACCTTCTGCCAGGCCAGTGTCTCTGCTCTGCATATATACTGGGCAGCTGTGGCAGATGAAGTGGTGTTTCCCATCCTTCCTGGGAAATAGACATTTCTTTCCAGGGCAGTGAGGGTGTGTGTCTGAGTCTTGAATGCCAGTGTGGTTACGAGCGGATGGTGCTGGGGGTCACTGGCAGAGGGACCTGTAGTGGCCGAGAGACATTAGTAAGACCCACTGGGGAGGAAGAGGGACCAGCTTGCTGCTGTTTGAGCCTGGCCATGGACACCCCCTCCTCCAGCAGCATGCAGCCCGTCCGCTCTCACAGACCAATTCAGGTTACTTCCCCCTTGCTCCCTGCCTTTCCTCTGATTAACAATCAGATTTTTATTATTCATCCACTTCTTCCTGATTCAGAGTCCTGGGGCATGAGTCACCTTTATGCAGGTTTAGGAGCCTTGTTTTAAAGCCTTGTTAAATGAATATTAGGGGAATATAGCATTGAGAGATATTGTCAGTATTTAAACAGTATAAGTTCCACCCTAGTCTCTCTCCCATCCCTACACACATGCAGTAAAGGGAATAGGTCTTTTCAACTAGGGCCGATGGCTCTGTACAATAATGCAATAATACAACACAGAGCACACGTTTCCAGGAATTTAACTAGGATGTAACCTTCATGAGAGAAGGGACCCTGCCTGTCTTGTCCACTGTGGAATCTCCAGTGCCCAGCATGTGGTGTGAGCTCAGTAAATATTTGTTGAATGAGTGGATAAATAAACATTAATTGCATGCCTATCAGATGTTATGCTAATCGTCATTGATGCAAACATTAATATTTGGTGCCAGTTGGGTACTGGAAATATCAGGGGGAACACTTTGTAAAGTACATCTGAAAATAATATTGAATGTAAGCTGTAATTGAAAAAAATGAAAAATTAATGTGATATGTGCTCTCCCATCAAGGAACTCACAATCTAGAAAGAGAAACAGATGGACAAGCAAAAGGGTGAACATGAAGGTTAAAGTAGAGGTACATACATATACGTGCTGGCAGAACACATGACTGACTATTGATTTGGCCTGTGAAGGTCAGAAAAAGTCCCAGAGAGGAAGGAACATCTGAGTTGAGCCATAAGGGTGAGTGGGAGTTTGGCAGTGGTCACAGGAAGAAGAGGAGTCTAGACAGAGGGAACAGCATGAATAGAAGCATGGGGATAGGAAGATAGTGTAGAAGGTGGTGAGCGGTTCCGTGTGACTAGTGTGTGGTAATGTGAGGCGGGTGCTGAGAGATAAAGCTGGGAAGCAGGTTGAGCCACTGATGTGGGGTTGGGGCCCTGACCAGCTGCTCTGCCCCCGTGGGCTGTGTGTCCTCAGGCCATGGCCAGTGCAGCTGTGGGGACTGCCTGTGTGACTCGGACTGGACCGGCTACTACTGCAACTGTACCACGCGCACCGACACCTGCATGTCCAGTAACGGGCTGCTGTGCAGCGGCCGGGGCAAGTGCGAGTGCGGCAGCTGCGTCTGCATCCAGCCGGGCTCCTACGGGACCACCTGTGAGAAGTGTCCCACCTGCCCTGATGCCTGCACCTTTAAGAAGTGAGTGAGCGGGGAAGTGAGTTGGAGAGAGTTGGGTGTGAGATTGGGAAGGGGGGTGTGTGTGGAGAGGGTCCCCCAGACTAGAATCCCCAACTCTCCAGGTTCGGTCTCTTCCTCACCAAAGCTTTATGGGGAGGAGTCTGCTCCAGCCACATGGCTAGCTTTTCTCATTCACTGAAAACTTTGGGGAAAGGTGGAGGTGGAGCCAACCATGAAGGAGTCAGTGTAGTACCAGCCGGACTCCAGTTGGAGAAACCCCTCTCCAGGGTAGCATCCTGAATCCCTGAGTTGGGAGGAAGGCTAAACCGGATTACTTCTGGGGAACGTTCAAGTGCTGATGTTCTGATTCTGTGGGAGATGTGGGGCTGGAGCTACATGAAGGCAACAGATGTCCACCAGTACAATCGTCTCTCATTTGGGGATCAGAGGAAGCTTCTGGCAGCCCAAGTCCATGGTACTACCATTTCTCCTTCCACTTAAGAGTGGTAAGAGAAATAGCATCTGTATAGGGCCGCATGCTTAGAAGGACCCCCACCGGGTTTAGTGCACTGCTGTCACTGACTTGAAATTCTTAGTAATTTTTCAGCAAGGGGCCTGATATTTTCATTTTGCACTGGGTCCCCAAACTATGTTACTGGTTCTGACTTTAAGGCTCCCAGAAGTGCCGTAGGGTTCACCCTCCTGTCATGGCCTCGGGTGGAGAAATTTAATGACGTTGTCTAGAGGCCTCTGCCTGCCAGGCCTTGAACTCCAGATTTGACTCTCTGGACCCCAGGAGGGTCTTACAGATGGTTCTGTTTGTGTGTTTGTTCTCTGAGCTGGAGCAGCTTCCTGGGTGTATGGAGTCAGAGCCAGACTAAAACACTCTCAGGGTTGCTCCTAGCTTGCTTTAATCCCCGTGCCCTCTTTCCTCCTCCCCTCTTTCCTTAGGGAGTGTGTCGAGTGTAAGAAGTTCGACCGCGGAACCCTATACATGGAAAACACCTGCAACCGTTACTGTCGTGATGAGGTTGAGTCTGTGAAGGAGCTTAGTAAGTTCAGCCTGTCAGTATTTCTGATTTAATCTCAGAAACTATCCAACTCTCATCTGTAACATGGGGGAGTAATTTTGACCTCAAAGGCATGCAGACCTGATGCACAGTAGGCACTTAATGAAAGCTGACTAGAGAGTCCTCCTCACTTCTACTAATTTGTTCAGCCGATCCTCCCCTTTCTGATTCCTGGAACCCACAAACTCAGCAAGATCCTGCAAATAACTTTCAAAGCGTGTATAAATCAGGCAACTGAACTATATCTCCTCAAGGAAAGAAAGAGAAAGCACCCCCATTTTACAGATGAAGAAACTGAAGCGCAGAGTGGGAGAGTAGTGACCCACGACAGTCTTGGCTTAGTAGGCTAGTAAGCATTTACTAAGAATGCCCAGGCATTCAGCTTTGTTGGAGAACCCTCACCCTTACAGATATGTAGCCAAAATCATATCTGAAGCCTTTGTGGCTCTCTAGAGCCCCTTGTGGAATAGACAAATAAAGTGGGGAGCAACTCTTGTTTGCAGCTATTCTGGTTTGTACTTCATTTTGACCTAAAGAAAATGATCTTTGCTGCTGTCAGCACATCTGATGTTGTTTTTGGGCCAGGTAGCATTGGGTGGGGCCAGGGAGATGGCCATCTCTCTGGAGATAATAATCTCCCACGCAAGCAGGAAACATGTTTTCAGTGAGAGCTACAGAAAGACACAGCCAATCAGTCAGCTTCTAGGCGGGGGTGTTATGGAAAAGGGTCAGATCTCTGGATCCTTTGACAAACATCCGAAGTGGGGCTGGAGTTAGAGTGATTTGGGGATTGAGTTTGAAGAAATAATTTTTTTCTCTAGAGGACACTGTGCTTGCTATGATCAGTTTAGGGAGGAGGGGCTGCTCAGATGTGAGATATTTGTGTTATCTAGACCAGATGGGTATTACAGGTTAGTTGATAAGTATTTCTACACCCTACCTGCCATGATAATCATAAATATTTATTTGTATGAAATTTTATAACTTATAAAAGTTATAAAAATATCTCTTCATGCACATAATCGTCTTCTCCCAACAACCTAGTAAAGTAGAACGGTAGGACTACTGTTATCTTCATTTTGAGGATGAGGAAATTGAATCTCAGGAAAGTTAAGTAACTTGCCCAAGGAAATTAGTGGTGAGGTAAGATTAGAAATAAACCCTGAAATTCTTACTCTTTCCATAGTACTAGAATGCCACTGGTTCACTAAATTAAAGGCTTAATGGGTTAAAGTTTGTAGGCTGTGCTTTGAGACTCATGCTAGTCACTTACTTGCTGAGTGACCTTGACACATTTGTTTAATCTCATTGTGTGTCAGTTTTACCCATCAATTTCATCAGTGTAGGGCAGCGGTTCTCAGCCTGTGGGTCGCGACCCCTTTGGCGGTCGAATGACCCTTTCACAGGGGTCGCCTAAGACCATCCTGTATATCGGATATTTACATTATGATTCATAACAGTAGCGACACTACAGTTATGAAGTAGCAATGAAAATAAGTTTATGGTTGGATCACAACATGAGGAACTGTATTTAAAGGGCCAGAAGGTTGAGAACCACTGGTGTATGCCATGGTGCAGCTGGGAGAGGGTAACCCATAGTTTCACTGTCAGAATCACAGTCTTTAGAATGAGAAGGAATGAAACCTACAAGACATGATGGGAATCAGAAGAGAGGATGGCTCTGGAGAGAAACACTGGATCAGAAGCAGAAATGGAGGAACTCTGAGGGCTGAATGAACAAACTATTGAGAATCATTGAGCAAGCAGAGAAATGAAAGAGAGGGAACGGAACACCCGCTCTTGACTTTATGCCATTTAATTTTCAACCATCTCTGTGAGGTGAGAGTATCATTTTCCTTTTATTTATGAAGAAAGAGGAATTCATGAGGTCAAGTAACTTACCCAAGGTCACACAACTGGTAAGTGGTAGAGCCAAGCTTTGAATCAGATTGTGTAATACTATTATATCATGTTCCTTCCTGAGGAAGGAATAAGAACCAAAAAGGGGCGGTGAGGGACAAAGTGCATCAGTCAGGGTCATTTGGAGGCAATTGCTGGGCACAACAGCCATCTCAAATCTAGGCACCTTGCCTAATGTCAAGCATAGGTTTTTCTGTTGCATAATTTCACAGAAATTCTATGAGTGGGGTTCGGAGATGACCCCATCTTCCAGGAATTGACCAATTTTTTCATTCTTTTATCTTCCCCTCTCTTCCAGAGGACACTGGCAAGGATGCAGTGAATTGCACCTACAAGAATGAGGATGACTGTGTCATCAGATTCCAGTACTATGAAGACTCCAGTGGAAAGTCCATCCTGTATGTGGTAGAAGAGCCAGGTGAGTGAACCCCGAGGGCCCCTGGCCCTGCCCCCAGGGAGAGGGAGAACCATGTTAGGCAGTTATTTCATCTATCATGCCTCTTAAATGGAACAGCCAGGTTAAGCCTGACCTTACTAGGACAAGTGATAAGGTAGGGCCTGTCATCTGGGTTCGGACGATATATAAATACAAATATTAGCAAGAAAGTGATTTCTTAATTGATGAAATAGAAAAATAAGGTGGATAAAGAGAGGGGGAATATAAATATGGATCCCACGAAGGAAAAAAATATATCATAGCATTTTTTTTGAGGTGATAATGTTAAGAAATAAGGAATTTAAATTCTAGGACTTCTCTGCACAAGGCATCTGCTCTACTATAAGTTAAATGGTTGCCAAGAGCAACCGGCTTGCTGCTTCAGAGGAAGGCCTGATGGTTTGAGGTGTTGATCTTACCAGGTTCACTATGAGACATGGTAAAGGGTTTGAGTTAGCAACCCAAGGCTTCCCTAAGCACTAAAAATATAGTGCTTGCTCTCAAGACCCTCTGGAGGCAGGTGGAACTCATGTCATCATGTACAGACCAATCACGGGTTTGTCACCATCCAACACAGTAGATTTGCTTGCTTTTCCTTACTACCTTCCTCTTCTTCCTTTCCCTTAAGCAATTGATTAAGATATAAATCACTAGAAAATAGTTTTGAGTACTTATTATATATCAGGCACTGACTTGCCTAGGTGCTGGGAATATAACAGTAAATAAGGCAGATGCAAACGTAGCACTCACAGACCATGGGGGAGACAGGCCTGTAAACCAGTAGTGAGGGATAAAGGCCATGGTATGGTGGGGGTGGACAAGAACTTAATGGAGTGCCCTAGCCGGTTTGGCTCAATGGATAGACCATCAGTCAGCCCATGGACTGAAGGGTCCTGGATTCAATTCTGGTCAAGGGCACGTACCTCCCTTGCAGGCTTGATCCCTGGCCCTGGTCGGAGCAGTGTGTGGGAGGCAGCCAATCAATATGTCTCTCTCACATCAATGTTTCTCTCTGTTTTTCCCCCTCCCTTCCACTCTTTCTAAAAATCAATAGAAATATCTCCTTGGGTGAGGATTAACAACAACAACAAAAAATAACTTAAGGGAGTGAAGGAACAATCTCCGCAGACAGAGGCTAAGTTGGTCGGTTTACAGCTGTAGGGAGTTCTTCAAATCATTCTTTTGACCGAGGCGGGCAGACTTCTTCTGTAAAGGGCCAGATGTTAAATATTTTTGGATTTGTGAGCCATGTGGTCTCTGCTGTGACGACTCTGCCACTGTAGCAGGAAAGCAGCCATAGGCAATATGTAAATGAAGGAGTCTGGCTGTATTTACAAAACCAGTGGCAAGCAGCACTTTGCAGGCCAGTTTGCTGACACCTGCTTTACAGCGGTGGTTATGAAACTTTTGTGTTTTCTTGTTAAAAAAAAAAAAAATCCAGAATCCTGAGCCCTGACCTATTTCCACAAAATTATGCCTCTGTGTTCTTCATTAATGCTCTTGGTAATTGTGGTGTACCCCAATATTTTGAAGTGATAATGCTTTAGACACATCACTTGCCCCAGTGAGCCTTCTCAGGCCTCCTCCAGCCTCATTCCGCTGACCAGGTTTAGGGCTCCTGTTTGATTCCCATAGCAGCCCTGCTTCCCTTAAAAGGCCTTCATCATACTGTTGAATTGCTTCTTCAGTCACCAGTGTCTCTCAGTAGATTATAAACTCCATAAGCACGGGAACTATCTGTCTTATCAATTGTTATATCCCCATACTTGGCTCAGTCATCTACAGAGAAGATAATAAATGGCTTGTGAATGAATCAATAGGACTGGTTATTCCTAGGAGACAGGCAGGCTTATATACATCTTGATATCTGTTAGGACAGTTTGGGCTGCTTATAGAAGGAAGCGGGTGAAAGTGGGCAAAGGGCTGCTACAGCGATGTCACCCAGCTTGTTGCTGTCGCTATGAGTACGGGAGAGCATGGTGCCCCCATCTGTGATATTGTTCATCCACTTTTCCCAGAGCTCTCACCCTTCATAAGGGAAAAGGAAGAGAAAGAAAGGGCATCACCTCAGTTTTATTTAGTGACTCAAGGGAAAGCTGACATGGGGAAGGGGAGAAAGAAGTCTGGATGTGTATCTGTGGAGAGCAGATGTGGATTATTTGGACGTGACGTTCTCACACTTTCACACCCATTTGTGTTAAACCATTTCACAGGTTTCCCACACCCACCTTATGGGTACCTTTGCCCCTTCTCATTTCAGAAGGGTGGTATGTTCTTGCTTTTATACCCAGCTGTTTTCACGAATTTATTTACCTAGCTCTGGGTATATAATCTTGCAGATTACTTCATCTCTTTGCTACATCCTTGCTGTTGCTTCTGCTGTGTCACTTACCAAATCTTTTGGCTGGGTATTCTGAGACTGGAACCTTCTACCTGGAGTGGTAGAGAACAAAGATGATGATAACCTGGGATGGTTCGAATAACCCCTGGGGGGAGGTAACTTTTCTGACTTACTGACAGTAGGCCTCTTCCTCCACATTAGGAGATAGGACCCAGACCCAGATTTCCTGTCTTACTGCCTTGAAATTCCAAATTCTGCCTCTCTCTCCTCTTACCCAACCTGAACCATTTTCAGGGGCTCTGGCTTTGAGTAGAATGTAGCATTCTACTGAAGTATAGAAGGAGATTATTTTAGTTCTCTTCCCTAACTCATGCCCTTGCAGAGGCTCTCTTTGAAAGACAGGAGCCACTGCAGGGTAGTAGAGAGATTGCCAAAGGGTTTGGCATTGACTAAGTGGCCTTAGCTAGGCCCTCATTGCTCCTGGATAGGATTGCCTGATAAAATACAGTATGTCCATGCAATATTTGGTACATACATATGCTAAAAAGTTATGAATTCAAATTTGATTGGACTTCCTGTACTTTTGTCAAATCTGCTAACCTTACCCAGTCTTTCCTGACCCCACCATGGGTCCTCGTCACTGTGGCTGGAAGGACTCTCCAGAGACCCCCCGCGGGAAGCCTGCCATCCACCCCTTTCAAGACAGATGGTTAACAGATATCCCCAACCCCACAAAGACCTCCTGGCATTCTACTTGTCCTGCCCATACTGACATGCAGGATTGGAGAGATTTCACTTTGGGATTGGGGGGCTTGGCCCTCCCTCAGTCTTCCAGAGAATTCGTAATTGTTTTTTCCCAGAAGAACAGACCCGTTCACCCCTGGGAACTCAGACACTGGAACCTCACAGCTTCTCTCCAGGCGCTCCTTTAATTATAGACAGGTTGTAATTTGGTGGCTTGGGAAAATGCCAGCTTGGGTTTGTGGTGGTGGTTGTTTTTGGACAGTGTGTGGTGAACATAGGGTGCATGTTTAGAGAGGAAGGTGGGAGACAGTGTGGAAAGTGGGTGTGACCTCCTCCCCAGACCCGTCCATAGGCATATATACAAACACTTAATTACATAACACCTGAGAAGTTGCTGGAGTGAGGTCACCCATCAGACACTTGTGGTTATGGGAAGCAGAGCTCTGCTGAGCATACTTATCCTGGCCCTCAGAGGGGTGACGCACCTCTGTCTGTGCTGGTTGTTGACTGGGGTTGAAGAGGAAGTCAGCTCTCAATAGGGTTAGGATTTTAGGTGACTACATATTTTGGGAAGGAACCCAAAATATTGTCTTGGTTGGCAGGCCGCCTGCTGGAAAAGGTCATCAGGTTCCCAGCCCTCGGGGATGTAAATATTTGGACTAGGGTAGCAGACTCAAATACTTACAGGAGCTAAGTAAATAAATTAGTGATTACAGCCAGGTATAACAAGAACACCACCGATAATGGTAGCTGATAATTATTGCACACTAATGCTATGCCAGGCATTGTTCTGAGTTCTTTTAATTCCTTTAGTATTCCTCATAGCAAGTTTCCAAAGTCAGTGCTGCTACTTTCTCCATTTTAAAGACGGTAAAACAGGAAACAGACACCCAGAAAGGTTAATTTATCAAAGGTCACATAGCAAAGTAAGTGGTAAACCAGGACTCAAACCCATGCAGTCTGGTTCCAGAGCCCACACACAGTAGCACAGATTCAATGGCAAGCCATACTTTGCTACTGTTTAGCGGAGAAAAGAGCAAGTGGTGAGGACTGTGGCCAACATGTCCCATCTAAAAGAGGCAGTTGTGCCTGGCCAATGTGGCTCAGTTGTTGAATGTCAACCCATGAACCAGGAGGTCATGGCTCAATTCCCAGTCAGGGCATATGACCGGGTTGCAGGCTCTATCCCCGGTAGGGGGCATGCAGGAGGCAGCCGATTGATTATTCTCTCTCTTCACTAATATTTCTCTTCCTCTCTCCCTCTCCCTTCCTTTCTCTGAAATCAATAACAACATATTTAAATCAAATAAATAAATAAAAGGGGCAGCTGCTCCTCAGCCCTCACCAGTTGCTGCCCTGTAAAAATATAGGTTCAGTGTTTCTAGACCATTGGATTTTTTAAAAGGAGAATCTGAAATTTTAAGGGGAGACTCCTGATTATCCAATGTTGCCATTAAAATAAAATGTTTAATAAATACTGTGTGAGCCCACATCAAATAGACTAGACTCTGCCTATGGGTGACAGGCTCACGGCCTGATTTAAACCACTCAGCACAGATGATTGCTGTCCTAAAGGTTGCCCTCTCTCCTTTTAAATAGTAATTAAGCCTGGCAAGCATGGCTCAGTGGTTGAGCATTGACCTATAAATCCAGGAGGTCCTGGTTGTATTCCTGGTCAGGACACATGCCCGGGTTGTGGCTTGATCCCCAGTGTGAGGCATGCAGGAGGCAGCCAATCAATGATTCTCTCTCATTGTTGATGTTTCTATTTCTCTCTCCCTCTCCCTTTCTCTCTGAAATCAATAAAAAAAGATCAATAAAATATTTTTAAAAAGATATTATTTGTAGCCAGTTCAAGTGATTTCTGCTCCAATCACAACCACCCTGCTCTGTGCTTTCTCCGGACAGAGTGTCCCAAGGGCCCTGACATCCTGGTGGTCCTGCTCTCAGTGATGGGGGCCATTCTGCTCATTGGTCTTGCTACTCTGCTCATCTGGAAGCTCCTCATCACCATCCATGATCGGAAGGAGTTTGCGAAATTTGAGGAAGAACGAGCCAGAGCAAAATGGGACACGGTAAGAGACTGGGCTGGATTTTCTTAAGCTGTTGGCTTGGAGCCTGAAGTGGTCGCAGCAGATACTTATGGTGGCCAGGTTCAGCCAGTAGTTTTCCATTTAGCCTCTGACCTGGAAACTGGGCGATGGTCTAACTGTTCCGCTGTCCTTACGCTTCCTGGAAACCACCTGATTCTCTCTCTACCACCACAGGCCACATCAGTGAGTACTGGCTGAGCACAGATAGGGCCCGACCCTGCTGTGAACACTATGAAGAGATGACAAGGAAGCAATCTCCAATGGAGGGAGACAGACAAACTTGAGAATCCTACATGGAGAACATAGAATATATACATGGAGAACATAGAGTATATATATAGAATACATAACACATTATATACTAATGAGGTTTAAAGCATTAAACACAAACAGGAAAAAAATATTAAAATAGCTAACTTTTACTGAGGAGTTACCACGTACAAAGAACTGGTACATGAATTGACTTATTTCTCCCTATAACAACCCTATGTGACAGGCAACCTTTTTATACTCATTTGTAGATAAGGAAACTGAGTACAGAGAAGTGTGTGTGTGTGGGGGGGGGAATTAGGTTATCCCCTTTTGGGTCAATCGCTTAGGAATAGTAGCAGGATGTCATCCCATCTTACCAGTATTCTTTTCTGTTTTCTCAAATGATGATGATAGCTTCTAAATCAGACTCCCCTTTTGTGCTCCCCGAAGTTTATCGTAGCTAATTGAATCCAAACAAGCATTTTTTGAGAACCTTCCATATACTTAATTTAATTCAATTCTCCTTTGGCTCATCTTCATTTCAGCTTTTTTTCTGGACCTTCCAAATGGCCATTTGACTCCCTGGCTGTCCAAGTTTAGGCTATACGTTTGTTCCCATTGGATGAGGACCTCAGGCCTTTGTACCCCAGGGTCCCAAGAAACTGAGATGTTTCTGTTCAGAAAATGTAGAAATCCTGAGCCTCTGAGGCACGCGAGAATGTGTTGTGCTTCTTGAAGCTACCAGTAAGGGCCACCAGACCTTATGGCACTTGTCACTTTTTACTAGAAAGTAATTTGGGAAATCTAGTGAGGGTCTTTCTTTTTCCTGATAACATGACCGTTTGTGGGTAGTACTTGAAGGGATAAGATGAGAACATATTCAGAATTATTTGTGTAAAAGCTTTCCTCTATGTTCCAAACACCATTTTCTACATCTCTCTTCCCTGCCTACTTCCCCAGCATGGTCACAATAAAGGAAAAAGGGCAAAAGAGAGTGTTGGAGAGAGGAACTGATGGTTCAAAGCTATCCTGAAATGTTTGGGATCACCAAAAAGGGATGGGATGAATTTAACCCCTTAGAAATAGTGGCAGGATGGCATTCCATCTTGTCTCTCTCTCTCTCTCTCTCTCTCTCTCTCTCTCTCTCTCTCTCTCTCTCTCTCTCCATTCCCATCTTAAGAGTGAAAGTGTGAGCACAATGAGCATTAACCTGTTACCGATGGTGTATCCCAGAGACGGGTCTCTTGGGCAAATTTCTCAGATGAAAGTATAAGCCTTGAGGGCAGGGTAGAACGGAAGATTCACTGTAAGACCCTTTTCTATTCTCTCCACAGGCCAACAACCCACTGTATAAAGAGGCCACATCCACCTTCACCAACATCACCTACCGGGGCACTTAATGACAAGCAGTCGTCCTCAGATCACTAGCAGAGTGTCCCAGGATTGTGGGCATCTCTGCCGTCATGTTTACAGGGGACAGTATCTGTGGGGCGGGATTGGGGACTTGGAGTGAGGTGGGGTGGGAGAATGTGAATGCGTGGAAGTGTGGGTCTCTGTGCATGAGTGCGTGAGTGGGTTGCGTATGGGGGAATGTGTAATTTAAAACTTGGGGCGTGTCCCAGATCAGCAGAGCTCCTCAGCCTTTGTCCTCAGAACGCCTCCTTCAGGGATTCCTCCTGCTTAACCTGAGGGTGACCTGCGTAGCTGAGCAGATGTTCTTCATTACCTCAGAGAGAAGCCAGCTTTCCTTCTCGGGCCATTCTCCCTAAAGAACAGAGCAGGGCTGAGGCCTCTCATTCCAGAGAACAGGACTTTGATTCCGCCCTGAGTTTATGGTTCTTGGGCCTGACTCTCAGCAGCTATGGCAGGAATTGCTGGGCTTTGTAGCCTTGTGTCACCTGTTCCCGTCTCCTTTCCCCTCCCTCAGGCTGAAGGAGAATTCAGGGGAGAGCCGAATCATCAGAGCTGCCTGTGCCTTTGGCTATCCCCTCAACCCAGTATGGTTCTCTCAGTAGGGGAGTCCTTGCTACCGAATTCTTTGATCTATTGGGAGAGAGGATGGCAGGGCCATCCAGGGGTCATGCATGGCCTGGGGAATGTGCCAGGGTCCCGCAGCTCAAAATGACCCTTCAGATTTGTCCCATTGGCAGCTCCATCCTAGAGGTTCATTTAGAAGTGTTTCACCCTTAGACCAAGCACTGCCTCTTACCTCCTACTTCCACATGCTCACTGCTGTAGATGTTTGCTGCATACTGGGACTTTCATGGCCAAAAGCTTTTCCTCCCAGAAAGGGTGCTATGGTTAGAGCCAGAGGACTGGCCCACCCTCAGGCCTTCTGCCCCTTGTCCAAGGCACTTCCACACACTCTACCCTGTGCTTTTATGTGCTAAATCCATCCACGGGGATGATTGCCTTTATCTACCTCTGGGGTGTCTTGAGAAGGAGTCATTCCCACGGGTCTCTGAGTCTGTGCTGGGCATAAGTGCCAGGGTGAAATGATGGGCCAGTTGTATCAGCCTGTGTGGCCTATTCTCCCTCGGGCTGGGCAACCTCATTTTAACTCAGTCGTTAATCTGAGAGGTCACAAGTGCAATTTTCTTTTCTTTTTCTCATTGGGGCACCTGGGACCACAATGAGGCTTAAACTAAAGGACCATGTATATAAACACACTTGTATTATATTTGTAATTTTATTTGATGACAAGGAAGGAGAGTATAAAAAAGCCACAGAGACTTGGGCTGGATATAGACAGCCCCATGTGGCATCACTCAGAGCAAGTCATTGCCCAGTTGTGGGATCTGTAAAGGCTTTCTTATCCTGGAAGCCTGTGGGGATGGATGCATGGACATGCTGGTCCTTTCCTGAGGAGGAGGGAAATGGCCAATAGCAATAGCAGTTGCTCCATTGGTGTTTACATTAACAACTACCCTCTCAGTCTCCAAGAAAAAGGGGAGGATCTATAAACAGTGATCTGATGATCAGAAAATCTAAGATCAGGCCTCAGTGTTGCAGTTAAGGAATCTTTAAACGTAATTAAGACAAGTCACTTTGTTCTCCCTGAGGCTCAGTTCTCTAGTTCGAAAAATGATGGGTTTGGACCAGTTTAGAAGGTCTCTTTTAGTGTCAGAATTCTAAGATGTTGGGACTTACTTTGAGATCAAACTCATCATGAAGATCCTGTGGGATGTAGATATTGCTTATTTTTTTAGTTGGGAGAGAGACCTGGCTTTGGCAAGAGCAGGTGTCATTCCACATCACAGATGTTATTCAATGAAAAAGCCTCATTCTATCCTGTCTTTGAGCCTCTTCTCCAACTTTTGTTAGCAGTTACATCTCCTGACACTGTAGTCTTTGAGCTCCACTTAGTTCCTATTTCTTAGTTCACTTTGCACACATTTGCATCCACATATTAGGGAAGAGGCACCCATAAGAAGTAGCTGAAATGTGTGGTTTGTATCCAGGTGTTAACCTTGAGAATAAGCCTTGGAATTAGGAATGGGGAAAATGACTGAGCCCTGTCTGACCCACGGATTACCCTTTATTGTAGGGGATGGTAACACAGTGGAGGGATAAATGAGGGATGGATAAGGAATCCAAGAAGTTTAGAACCTAACTGTCACCTTCAGCTAGGGAGACAAGAGTCCATTAGAGTAGTAGTACATTTTCTTTAGGTAAGATGGCTTATATAAAGAAACTATATCAAAGGAGAAAGAATATGTATCCAATAGACTAAAACATCAATGGGGAAAAAATAAAAAATAAAATAAAACATCAATGGGAATCTTGTGTGAGCTTCTGGAATGAGGCTCATAGGCCTTGAAGACCAGCACTGTTTGTCTATATGTGGAAGAACCTGTAATGTGTTCGGGAGAGAGCATATAGCAGTGAGTTTTGGCATCATGTGGGGTGAACATCTGAATAGTATTTTGGCATCAGATAACATAGCACAAAAAGGCCATTTGTGCTCTGCTCTTTTGGAGATATTTCATGTTCAGTCTCAGGGTCTGTGGACAGTAATGGGAAACTTTGACCATTCCTGACAAGTTGTCACATAAGGAGTCGGTTCTTTGTCATTCAGATATTCCTAGCCCATCCATGATTTCAAGATACTTCTCTCCATTAAGTATTACTGGTCGAAATGACTTAAGTGCTTTCCTGACTTCCTAGCCTGTTTGAGTTGTGCAACAATGAATTAAATGTGTTTTCCAAAAAGAAGTGGCCTATGGCTGCCCAGTGCTTCCTGTGTTGTTATTTCTGTTTCCTTTGGGTGAAAATAATGATTATTTTAGAACAAGGGTGTTTCCAAATGCAACAGAATGATGACTACTACCGAAACTAAAGTTAGCTTCAGAACCTAGAGCTTTTCTTTACACTTTAATAACATTTTCAAAATGAATAGGCTATGACTGTTCTAAGAGTTACTTTTTTTTTTCTAATTGGGGATTTTTAGGAACTTGCGTAGCCTCAACAAAACAGACTGTCAATTTAGTCTAGGTTCTGTTTACAGGAAGCATGAACTGATAAAATAAGGCTTAATGGTAAATTATTTACAGGACCATTTAATTGCCCTTTTATTTAAGGCAGTGGGTCTCAAAATGTGGTCCCAGGACCATCAGCATCAGTATTACCCAGGAACTTGTTAGGAATGAAAATTCACAGGCCTCACCCCAGAACCACTGACTCAGAAAATCTGGGAGTGGACCCAGCATTTTGTGTTTTAATAAGCCCTCTTGGTAATTCTGTTAAACACTCAAGTTTGAGAATCACCGATTTAAGGATTCACATACCTATTGTTCTGGCCTAGAAAGAAATTTCCAGTAAGTCAGTTCAGTTACTAAAAGATTAAGAACGTACCTTGGCTGGCAGATTAAGAAAACCAAATACTTACTCACAAAATGAAAATCCATTTTCCAAGTTAAGTGATCAGAGGCTTTTGGGTTCACTCACAGCCACAAATTCCCATGAAAAACTAAAAAAAAAGTAATAGATCAGAATCACAGGGAGGGGAGGGCAGCTAACAAAATACTTGGCAGGCATCTAAGAAAACTTTTTATGGGTACCAAGCTGAAGCAAGAAAATATTCTCACATGTATTCACGGGAGATGGGGTTGAAATCTTAATCATTAACGTTGTCATCCAATAGGATGCCAGACTAAGACTTTAGAATGTGTACGTTCACTTTTTGCAATTTAAAATGTATTGAGCGCCAGCAGAGTGGGATTGAAGTATTTTACAGAACACTCTTAACATAATTGTTGCCTTTGAGTCTTACATTCCTTACTAATGTAAATTTTTTAAACACAATAGAGTGCATGGCATAAAAAGATTATGTGAACATAGACTGAGTCCTTTTATGATGAAATTTTGTAAGACCCACTGTTTTATTTACATTATGGTAACTAATGACTAAATGTCTGGATGAAAATGGAGGACCTTATGTGGAAACTAAATGAAAAGCTACCTGTGAAATCATATTTGTAATCCCTTGACTCTTGGCCTCTGTAGTCTGACTCTAGAGTAAGAGTCATCTAATAACCACTGGGACCAATTACAAGAAGGTTGTCTCAGCCCTAACTGGTTTGGCTCAGTGGATAGAGCATTGGCCTGCGGACTCAAGGGTCCCGGGTTTGATCCCGGTCAAGGGCATGTACCTTGGTTGCAGGCACATCCCTAGTGGGAGTGTGCAGGAGGCAGCTGATCGGTGTTTCTCTCTCATCGATGTTTCTAACTCTCTATCCCTCTCCCTTCCTCTCGGTAAAAAATCAATAAAATATTTTAAAAAAAAAAGAAGGTTGTCTCAGAATTTTAGTGCACTCATTTTTCATACTGATGTGAGGAAGAAATAGCAAATAAGCCATTTAGGCCCTGAACAGTGTTGCTAAGTGGTTAGAAGATTGGCCTACACACCAAAGGGTCTGGGGTTTGATTATGGTCAAAGGCATGTACCTGGGTTTCAGATTTGATCCTTGGCCCTGGTTGGGGTGCATGCAGGAGGCAACCAATCAGTGTGTCTCTCTCACATCAATGTTTCTCTCTCTCTCTCTCTGTCTCTCCCTCCTTCCCATCCAATCTCTCTAAAAATCAATGGGAAAAATATCGTTGGGTGAGGATTAACAAACAAAAAAAGCCATTTAGTACTTGTTGTCCTGGTTGCTGGCTCAATTCCCAGTAGGGGGCATACAGGAGGCAGCCAATCAATGATTGTCTCTCATCATTGATGTTTCTATCTCTCTCTCCCTCCCCTTTCCTCTCTAAAATAAATAAATAAATAAATAAATAAATAAATAAATAACAATAATAATAAATGTGTGTGATCAAGGTTAATCATATTGGTAAATAAGAAAATTTAAATCCACTTAATGAGAATGGTTTCTACGTGTAAGGAAAATTATAGGTCAGGAAACATGATTGTGTTCCATGAAGCTGCTGTCGTAATGATGTCTCTCCAACCTCTTGCATAGAGGAAACATTTTCATCAGTTGTGTATTTTCTGACAATACACCAAAGAATGCACACAGAATGTAAGTATCTAGAAAGCAACATTTAGGATATTTAAGAGCCTTTAAAAGGCAAAACCTCCATTGGTGTCCCTGAAAAGAACTTTGTAAAGGAAAAGTTTCACTATTCATTGTGTTTTACCTAATATATTAGTTGGGTTTTCCCATGACTCATACACAATTAGCTTATTCTTTGAAGAGGCCAGGGTAATGGGTGTGTAAATATCATTGGTGATTAATGGAAATACTTTGTTAAAAAAGGAAAAATGTTGATGAATGCTGGACTTTGCTTTTCCTGACCCTTATATGTTTTCCCCTTCTCACATAATATTAAAATTCCTAATTTTTAGTTGGGCACGTGGCTGCTCAGACTAAATACTATGTTTTCACCCTGGCCTGTTTGGTTCAGTGGTTGAGCATTGACCTATGAATCAAGAGATGGTTCAATTCCTGGTCAGGGCACATGCCCGAGGTTGTGGGCTCAATCCCCAGTTGGGGATGTGCAGGAGGCAGCCGATCAATAATTCTCTCTCATCATTGATGTTTCTCTTTCTCTCTCCCTTCCTCTCAAAATCACTAAACATATATTTCTTTAAAAGTACTAAAGAATGCCTACATAGGAGTGCTTAAGGTACCAAGTAGCATCACTGAAGGAATTACCTATTGTAACATTTATTGAGCGCGTATGCAATTTTTAATTATCACAATCCTGGAAGAATGAGAAAATTGAGACTGAGAAAGCATAAGTAACTTGCCTCACTGCATTCATTAAATAAATAGTTAAGCATTGAACTTGGATAGATCTGTTTATAAAGCCCACGCTATTCACCACAATGTAAATAATGGAGAGCTCAGGTTGGATCAATTCATGTGAACAAATTACTTGTATGTTTTTAAAGAAAAGATACTTTAAGTTGTGGGCTTTTGGAAGGAAATATTTTCAAAACATTTTGCTTGACAGAGCATTTACAACTCTAGCAAATCTTGCAAATGATTAACTTCACTGAATTGGCTCTACACAACCTTTTAACAACATCATAACTAGGGAAAGCCAGAAAAAAAAACAAAACCTTTGTCTTTTCTTTTACTAGTATCATTTCATTTGCAGGATGCAGGAAAAGAGAAGTTGATTAAAACAAAAACAGACAAACAGAAAACCCCTTAGTGTGTCTCCCAAAAGTAAGGATTAGTCTTCTGAAGCCTGGAACAAATGTCAGCAAAGCAATGGGACAAATGGCTTCAAGCTGCTGCTCACTTTTGAGCAAAAGAACCAAGAGGATGGAATGGTTTAGAAAAAGAGGAAGGTGGGAAGTATTCAGAGATGGACAAGAAGAGCCCTAGCCTGTTTAGTTCAGTGGATAGAGCAGGGGCCTGCAGACTGAAGGGTCCTTGGTTCAATTCCGGTCAAGTGCACATGGCTGGGTTGCGCCTTGATTCCCCAGTAGGGGGCGTGCAGGAGGCAGCCAATCAATGATTCTCATCATTGATGTTTCTCTCTCTCTCTCCCTCTCCCTTCCTTTCTGAAATCATGTTCATTCTCTGGCCCCATTTCAATATTACTTCTTGTCCATTTAAGTAATATTGAAATGGAGCCAGACAAGGGCGAAACAGAGGGCCAGAGAATGAACAGAGCGGTGTGAAGAATAGGAGCATGAAGGCTGGAGGGCGAAATGGAGGCCCGGGCGCGGGAAGAAAAGTACGCAGAAGGAAGCCTGTCACTATAGTAGTTGAGGTCACAGGCCCTTAAAAGGTGGCGCAGACCAGCCCGGCCCCAACGCACCGGGCAGTCCCATCTGTGCAGAGCTGAGCCCTAGCTCCCGCCCAGGGGCCCCTGGCGGAGCCTCAAGCTGGGTCAGGTGACCTGGGGGCGGGGCATCACAGAGCGGAAGCGCGTGAAGGCAGCGGAGCGGAGCGAGGTGCTGTGGGACTGGAGGTGAGGACCAGCAGACAGACGCCTGGGAACTGGGTTCCGGCGCTGGTGGCAGGGAGTGAGGGTGGTGGGAGGGAGGGAGGGAACCCGGGGAACCCAAGGGGCCGAAAGTGGGGTTCTCAGGGGACAGAGGTGGGGAGGCCAGACTCACTGAGGCGAAGGGAAGGACGAGCTTCCGAGGCTGAGCGAGGCGAGCGCCACATGGTGCGAGGGAGAATGTAGAACGTTCACGAAGGAGAGTGAGGGCTCCATAAAGGGCCCGAGACAGACTCAGTCCAGGTGCCTAGCGAGGGGCCAGTGGCGGTAGTTCTAGAAGGAGGGGTCACCGTGCTGGGGATGCGTCCCGCTCCCTGGGCGACACCGAGGCCGGGAGGAGAGAGCCCTGGGCAGCGGTTTGTCTACGAGGCCGGAAGCTTCCGGGGGCGGGGCCCGTGGGATCCTCCAGGGCACAGGTTCTTGGTGCAGAGGGTGTTCTTCAGTCTTTGTTAAGCAGAGACCACCGTCACCCATAACCTTTGCAGACCCACCAAATGGGCACAGATTAAGAAGCCTGTTCATCCAAGTCGTAAATGTGAAAGTGGTAAGACAACTTTGAAAAACATTAGGTAGTATGTCTTAAGGTTTTCATAGCCCATGGCTTAGAAGGTCACTCTTACCTATAAATCCCAGAAAATCTCTTGCACTCATGTGCAAGGAGACATGTTCAAGAATGCTCAAGGCAGCACTGATCTCAGTAGCAAAAATGAACAAACAAAACAGCCCTCGCCCGTTTGGCCCGAGGACTG